ATAGTAGTGTAGGGAATCGTGTAGTAGTGTATTGTAGTAGTGTAGTGTATAGTAGTGTAGTGTATAGTAGTGTATCGTGTTGTGTATTAGTGTATAGTAGTGTAGTGTATAGTAGTGTATAGTGTAGTGTTTAGTAGTGTAGTGTATAGTAGTGTATCGTGTAGTGTATTAGTGTATAGTAGTGTAGTGTATAGTAGTGTATAGTGTAGTGTTTAGTAGTGTATAGTGTAGTGTATCATGTAGTGTATAGTGTAGTGTATAGTGCTAGTGTCTATCGCCAGGGAAAGGGCGGTGTGGACCGCCCTACTCAACATACTTGCCGCCGCGACCCTCACGAGAACAAGCAGACTGAGAAACGAACGAACATCATCAATCGACTTCCATAACAAGACAAGTGCATATCAAAGTAGCATTGTGCCTGACATTTGTGGCCCTTCGAATAGGCATTCGACTCGGTGGAAAACTGATATTTCGCAATCACATTTAAATTATCCAAACCATTTATAAAGATGGAACAGCTGCAATGAGATTGTACGAAGACATGAAGTGGAAATAAAAAATAAGGAGTCAGAGGATGTGCCACAAATGCAAAAATATATAAAATGGTAAAAGTATTAACCATCTCAGATTCGCCGTTAAAATAACAAATGGCAATAAACGACGTAAATTTATTGATGTGTTTAACAACAAAACACCACGACACATTGGGGTTAAAAAAAGACGAACTATCGGAACAAAAGTCAAGTAATAAAAAAAGGAAATTATTGCCGAAGGGATTCAACTGCAAAATCCAATACGGTTTAGTATATCTAGGTTAGTAAATCTAGGTTTGCATATCTAGGTTTGCATATCGAGGTTTGCAAATCTAAGTTTGTATATCTCGGTTTGCATATCTGATGACGTACATGTCCTATGACATACACTTACGTGTGTATGACGTACGTGTACGTCATACACACGTACGTCATATGATGTACGTGTACGCTCCGACAAAGTAAAAGGCCACGCGGGAGGGAGCGTGCGGCACAGTCTGGCGCCAGCTATTGTAGAGCTGTGGTCGTGTCTCCACAGTTGTCTGCGGTGAGTACACTACGTCATTAAAAACAGCGGCACTACAAGGCGTCTCGAAAGGAAATGAAATCAACGCCGAACCGCTCACGTGTTCTGAGATTGGGCGGTGAGCGGGACACCCGCCCTGCAACTGGCAGACGTCTCGGAACGGGAAAGGCTTAAGAGTGGACTTGGACAGCAGGGCAATGGACACGACTGGTGACAGAATGGGAGCCTGGGAAGGGGAGCACGCCAGGAGGAACGACCCGAGGCGGAGATGGAATGTGCCATCGCAAGATCGTAAGGGATGAGGAGGATGATGACGATGTGGAGAGGCCTTCGTCAAGCAGTGTATAGGACACTGCCGACGATGATTTGACCGTATCACTGTTTAACACGAGCTGAGGTGCATTTAATAAATTCGTTACGAAAACAGATGTAACAACGATGGTCATCCTATATGTATATTGTTTTTCAAATGCTGTAAATTCGCAAATACAGGAATTCAATTCATGAAAAACAGCACTTTAATTTGCAATTCAACTATTTAATAAGAAATCTATAAATGGCGTGCTATGACGACTCTTGCTCCAATCGTCGCCTATTATATATAATACAATATATAATATATTTTATTCATTGTAAGCCACACACACGGTGTTATTGTGTTGGGTTTGCGTGTAAACACAAATGAAACTGTACCTCACTTGTAACCGAGGTCTGTTTAACAATAAAGCAACGGAGGCCGTCTTATCCATCACACTCCAATCTCCGGATCGTACAATTCACGGGGGGGGGGGGGGGGGGGGTAGACAGGCGAATCATTATTCAGTCATCTGCAGATCCCCCCAGGAATATCGAGACATGATAAGAAAAACAAAATGCGATTTGCGACAGTGAATGAATGGATGTCGAGGTTGTCCACACCCTGGTTACAGATCTCTCCGGCACAACGGTTTCAGGTCGGTGGGCAGAGCAGGGAGGCTAAACCATCACCACGCAAACTCCGCTCATCATTGGCAGCAGCAGCGGCCGATCTTGGCTCGGCCGTCGGAACAAAGGCGGTGGCCACCGGCATCGTGCGCTGTCACGTGCGATTATTGCGGCCCGTCCAGAACGCTCTCGCTTGCGGATATTCGGTAGCCGCAGGGAGCTGTGGCACTTTGAAATCATCATCTAGATCAGTGGATATTCACCTTTAAGTCAGCCTCCACACCCCCCCCACCACCACCACTTTGGTTCTCAGGAAGGGCATCTCGTACCCCCAGGGTGTGTATGCACCCCCCCCCCCCCCCCAGGTTAAGAACCACTGATTTAGATTGATAAACTCATCTCTTTATAACTGCTTGTGGATTCAAAGCTTTCGTGACTGCAGGGATTCATAATCTTGGTTCTTTCGGTAAAGTCACGTAGAAGGGAAAGAATAATTGTATTGTTTCATTTTTATTATTTCCCTTCTACGTGACTTTACCGAAACAACCAAGAATAACTGCTTGTGGGTTCAGTTTGTCCCCCACCCCCACCCCCGCGCGCACCTCTGATAACAGCACGGTTGGCAACGTACGGTACAAAAGAAGATCAACACACGTACATACAAAGGCGCACTTCCGTCACTGTCCATAAAATGCGGAGCGATCCGCACATTCGGACACAAACGAGCTGACACGATCAGTTATTGTCGTGTCGCAAGGGCACATCTCCCTCTCTCTCCAGCGAGGTGAAGGAATGCCGCTTGTCCACGTGAATTATTGATAAGGTTATAGCGCCGCCGTTTACTTTATATATACACACACACACATCCGGCACAGGCGAGAAAACCCAAGGGCAACTTTTCTTCTCCGCAAAAAAAAAAAATCCCAGCGACGAAAACTCAGCCGGGAGATGGTAAGTTGCCACGGGGCATCGGTTTGTCCATACGTGGGGGTAAAAAAGAAAAAAAACTAACAACATCATAATCAACGTTTTTGGGTTTAGATCACGTTATTTATAAATGTGTCGTAACCCTCCACCACCCGACACGGCCAATCAGTAAAAAGTGTCACGTTGACAAAGGATAAATAGTTCACTGCTTTAGCCCACCGGTGTGTTGAAGCCACAACATTTACAATTTGAATTGTACGACGTTTCGCTGGTAATTGCATCCAGCATCATCGGGCAATTCGCCAGAATGGTGAGGCTCTGCTCTGTCTCCCGTTCTTATATAGAGCAGCAGCAGGGTGACGTCTTCATTAACTCATCAACTCATCAGGTGCAACGATTTGAAGCGGAGGGGGGGTTATTGTAGTTATATACTAGATTAGTAATCAGACAGTTGTTACGATGCGAGTTGTAGATTAGTAATCACTTTTTACTGATTGGCCGTGTCGGGTGGTGGAGGGTTACGACACATTTATAAATAACGCGATCTCAACCCAAAAACGTTGGTCATTAATAATATTGGTTGCGAAAGCCTGCTACGTGTTAAACTACCAACATCTCTAGTCGTTCAAACCACGCGAACTCGCGCTCTTTACCTGTCGCAGACACCAATCGTGGCCATCACCGCCTCACGTGGGCTGGGTCACGTGTTCGGGTTTGATCCGCACATGGCCGAGAATTTGCGCCCCAGTGTCCGCGTGGCAACGGAAATTAATTCGCGGCGAGATTCGCCACCGGTGTGGTCGTGCCAAAACTGTTTTTTGTTGCAGTCTTGCTTCTGCAGTTTTTGGAGAACGCATTTCGGACTTCTTTCGCGCCGTGCGTAGTCAACCACGCTAATCGGAAATGCGGGTGATGGACAATAAACTAAACGCAAAAAGCAGCTCTAAAAGAAATGAGTATTCAATCGAGATTTAACAGTGTACAACTCGTGGCTTCCTAATATCGGGAGGACCGTTCCAGACGGCCGTAGAAGTGCATATCAAAGTGCGCGATGTGGTGACCCACCGTCTTTGTTCTGATGGTTCGCCAAAATCAGCTGCTGTTGCGAGGATGCCCGGAGTTTGCGTGACGATGGTTTATACTCCTTGGATGAGGTGGAGGTGGTCAAGGAGGAGAGTTGAGGACGAGATGGAGACACGGATCTCCGTGGCCCGCTCGTGAACTATTTTTGTTTTATTTTACCAGGTAAGGCCCCACTGAGCTATGAAACCTCTTTTACAAAAGCGACCTGGCGATGACAAATTGGAGCTCAACGAAGTGGCTTATCATGCGGAAATTCATAGCAGCCAAATACTCGAAGCGTGTTGATTCTAAATGTGGAGGGGAAAAACCGGAGGACCCGGAGAAAAAATTCAAGGCACTACAACAGGGAGAGACACGCAAACTCCAAAGATACAGGCATCAGGGTTGGGATCGAACCCACGACCTCCTGTATACCTGGCGAGGTAATTACCATCTCGCCACCAGAGGTTCTATGATCTGTTGTAGAGAGTAAGGATTAGAGCCAAGAGCCGATTTTTGTTATCACAATTGACAATTTATTCAGGCTGACTTAACGGATCAATTAAAGAGTAGAAATAATGAGATTTAAAACAGGCCATTTCCTGTAGCCCATGATACGTCTCCTGACCACTCAGTCACTTCGCCGAATATGGCATGCGTGTATTTTAAAGCAACATCATGGCTTTGAAAAAATAATCTGATATATGGGTCGTCTTCAAATTTTGTACATTCCCTTAGACCACTTTCCATGGGTTAAACCTGGACCGTGTGCGATTAAAGGTGGCTTTGTGGCAGTGGTTGTCATGATTCATCAAAACCAGCATCTCTCACTGGGTTTAGAAAGAAGGGAAAAATTACAATAGTGCTCGGCTAAATAACAAGCCGGAAGTGAAATTTCACCTCTAATAATTATCGCTTGCAGCAATGCAAGTTACAGGAAAACAAAGGGCATGCGATGTTCAATGCGACTGGGCCCCGCGTTTTCACCACACCACAATCGATTTGAATTCGTCCAGGGAATGCTGTGGGACCTTAACGAGCAGGAAAACGATTTATTAAATTATAACAAAACCCTCGTTCAAATCGAGATGCCGTCTCAACAGGCGGCGATGATGCCGACGACGCCACGCACGGCTGCACCCACGTAGAACAGGAGTTGCGACGCTGTGATTACACAACACAGGCTTGCAGAGATCTGTACGTGTGTACGTGTGTACATGTCAGCCCGCCCGTTAACGTTGTTACCCTCCACGTTAAACTTCGCACATTCAGAGAATATTTACACACGCACGTTTCGGACGCGTTCGCCGACCCCATCGCGCCGCCATGCTCGCGCAAGCCTTAACGCAGGCCACGTTTATTAAGTGTGCGGATGGCTTTATTTGTACACACGTCGAGATTCGTTTATACCCGCGCGGACACAGCAGCTTCACGGCACATATGACATACAGAGGGGGTCGGTGGGGGTTGGCTCCCGTGTCACCCGTGTCAAGTTACAGTAGCGCAGAATCCCACTCCGCATTGCCAGAAACACAGCGGTGCATCAACAAACTTAGCACACACAAAGACAAAGATCTCCCCCCGTCTGCCCCCGTAACAGACTTTTGGGGAAAGTGCTATTAAGCGAGCAGCACCTGTGAAGGCCGGCACGGCACACGAGGGGGTGGGTGGCCAGCACCACGACCGGCCGCCTTCGTCTCCCCAGTGGCGATGTTCATACACAATGCACCAGGTACTCATTTGAGGCCGAGTAGACCTAGGGGAGGCCCAGGACGGGTTCAGATAATCCGTCGCCGATGTTGACCGCGAGCGGGAATCGAACCTGGGTAGCCGGGTTCATAGCACAGTGCGCTAACCGCGAGACTACCACTCCCCAAATACACACGCACGCACACACACCAACTTAGCACTGCGATAATGCAGTTGTGTTGTAATAATGTCCTTATCGTAGCAAGGGTATTCGGTTTCTTGGTATAATATGGACCTGTAGCACGTTTGTTTTACACCGCATACTTAAATCGCTAGACGGGATCCGCTGTCCGCTCTGTCACTAATGGAATGGTGGAGGTTTCGTTCGCCGGTTTTCCAGTCTCGTCGTCGTTTAAAGATTTTATTTTTTACGGGGGGGGTACCCCCCCCCTCCTCGGCTCAAGCGAAGCGTTGCTCCGGGCCTTGCCGCTGCCGCTTGGCCTGCTGGTGCCGGACCTGCATCTGCTCGAAGTTGCGCAGCAGCTCCTGGTGTTCCGTAGAATTCTTCTGCGCGTCCATACCCTCCCGGCGCCTGTTACGGATGGGAGAGAACGCAACGTATGTACGGTGGACTTCTTTCACAACTCTACGTAGTCAATCGTGCTAATCGGAGGTGTAGGGGGAAGGACAACAAACTAAACACAAAAAGCGGTTATGAAGAAATGCGTTGTCAATCTCGTAGAGTGTAGTGTATTGTAGTGTGTAGCGTAGAGTGTTTAGCATAGTGTAACGTAGTATGTATGTTGAACTTCTTTCGCACCGTACGTAGCCAACTGCGCTAATCGGAGGTGCGGGGGGGGGACGACAACAAACTAAACACAAAAGGCAGTTCTGAAGAAATTTTCGTTGTCAATCTCGATGACGTAAAAGTTCACACAGCTCCGCAGTGGCTTCCTAACATCGGACGTTGCGGGCGCTTCATCGGCGCGTATCGGGGATGACGCGACCTCGCGAGCAGCAGTGGCCGCACACGACACAGCGGCCACACGAGCACCGGGGCAGCCGGCTCGCTCCATCACCGGGCGGCTACAATTACACCGCGAGCACCAGGCGCGTGACTCTCGCTTCAGTCTGCTGTTGCGTCATTGCTCGGGGGGGGGGGGGGGGGAGAGCAACGAGGAGTGGAAGCTGACGGTGCGAGTGGAGTTGGAAGATCGTGGAGAGCGGAAGTGGAGCCGGTGGAAGGGGTTCGGAGTTGCATTTGTCGAGCCGAGGCTCGCATGACCTCGGAGGGCATTCGGCAACAGCAACAGCAACGCCACCGCCACGTTTCGAGAATGCATCGATTCAGACCACCCCACAAAGGAAACGAGCCTGTGCTCGTTCGTCCTGCAAAGTTAAACTAAACCGTCAACTACATTTGTTTTTATTTTACCAGGTAAGGCCCCACGGAGGTTTCCAACTCTTTTTCAGAAGCGACCTGGCCACAAATGATAGCTCAATGAAGTGGCTTATCACGTGCAAATTTATAGCAGCCAAATGACTCAAAAACGCATGTTGCTATATGTGGAGGGAAAAACCGAAGGACCCCGACAAAAAATCCAAGCGGCCACGGGGAGAACATGAAGACTCTAAATATACAGGTGTCAGGCTTGGGATCGAACCCACGACCTCCTGTATACCGGGGCGAGGTAGTTAACATCTCACTACCATGGTGTCACTGACATCGATCCATCACCAACGAGTATTCAGAGACCCTTAACTTTTTTGGCCAATGGCTTTAAACCACTTTGCCCATTTACACATTGGTGCAATGGTCACCCAATAATCCGTTGAACGTTTCTGCAACTTAATATTGTAATTGCAATGTCATCGGTCTAAAAATAACCGCGCCGAGCAAACTTACGCTGCAGGGAATTTTAAATATTTAACTGCGATTGAAGTTTCGGTTTACGCGAATGCTGTCGCGAGAGGGTCACACGTTTGGCGCGACGGGTCTCCTTCAGAGGTCGCAAACGGGTTTTGATTCCTTACCCATACCCGGCCGCACCAGGGTCGCAAATGGGTACCGGTACCCGTACCCGGTCGGGTACGGGTAGCCGTTCCATACCCGTACCCTACCTGAAATGAGTGACAAACGGTTACTCACCAGTGACTCACGGCCTACCCAGCTACCCGTACCCGGCCGGGTACGGTTAGCTGGGTATCGGGTAGGGTACGGGTATCGGGTACCCGGTTGCGACCTCTGGTCTCCTTCGCTGGACTCGGCGTGACGAACGGACGGACGAATATTTCTGTGATATTTTTTACTTCTCTAACCGCGATCCCTCCGTGGGGGCAAGCGGCGAACGAGGCTGCGACGGTGCACGAGCACGCGTTGGGTAAAAGCGGGCGTCTGCGCGCTACTCACTCCGCGACCATGAGCTGCGGGTCCGGCACACAGGCCAGGCGCTGACGCAGCAGGGTGAAGGCACTGCTCTGTGGCAGCAGCATCAGCAGGCCGTACAGGGCCTTGATGAGGTACGGGTGGCTCTCCACGTCCAGCAGCTGAAGCCGGAGGTCTGTTTTTCAAGACGGAGAGAACAAGTAAAAAGAAAAAAAAAATCACGGCCGTAATTAATTTATTTATTCCCAACGAGCGTTTGTCTGCTGATATAACATCTCTGAGATCCACCGATGATGCCCCCCCCCCCCCGTAACTTAATATAACCGCGCTCCAGGCTTCTGCCGTGGGCCGACCGCCGGGGCTGCATGTTGCCAAGGCTCTGGAATTCCCTGCCCCCCACCCCCCCCCCCCTCGGAGAGGTCAGGAACTCGCAGTCGTTGGGAGACTTTTAAGTGCCGGCTGCTGAAGACCCCCACCAGCTGTCTAATACAACCTCATCCTCCTCTCTGGTTCTCAATCTTCAGTTCAGTTCAAATGGTCGATGCGGGTCAGGAACATTCAGCCGACACTGCACTGACCAGCGTTGGGCCAAGTGTCATCTCAAATAACTCCCCCCCGCCACCCGCCCGCCCCGCCACGCCAAGGCCTATCAGCCCAGCAGTGGATTTGCGATATTTGTGTAATTCTTTTGGTGGTCACAGCATGAATGAATTGCAAGGTTATGAATGAAAGTCATTCAATCCAGCAAGTTATTGTTGCGAGGGGAATAAAAGGGACCGGGGTGCTCGAAACGCAAACAATTGCCGACCACCCCCCCACCGCCCCCCACGTCCGCCACTAATTGCATCTCCCAGGATCCCCCCCCCCCCCACCCCTCTCTGCTAACGACGGCGTGATAATTATTGCCCAGCAGAGATGAGCATTTGTTCGTGCAATTTTTATGGGAGAGCACACAACCCCCTGGTTTTTTTTTGGTCGTTTTTTTCTTTCTTCCTCCCATTATTAAGTGAAACGAGGGCTGCTTCTATTCATTTCAGAGAGCTCAGAAGAAACCGGGCATCTGTGAGGAGAATGAGTCCTCGATCGCCCTATGTAACAATGGCCATGGGCTCCGATTTTGCTGTGGCACAACGATAATGTCTCGCCGCGCATCTGCCAACAAACGAAACGGCAACAAACAAAACAACAAAAAACGAGCGTTAATATTCACAACCTCGCTCCCTACCGTTCGACAGCCCCTACGATGATGATGGGTGCTCGAACCGCCAGGATACGTCGTCGATTGGCCCCGGCCCGTGTGTGGAGGGGTAAAGTGTGGAGTGTGCCCCCAAACGGCCTCTTTCGAAGGAGGTCTAGGCGAGATTTGAAGAATCGGCCAAAACACCCTCTAGAGGGGCTCTAGCTCTTTAGTAGAGGGCCCTTCCCTCCAGCGGTGGCGAGAGCGGGCAAGCTGCAAGGATGCGCGCGGGCTACTTGCCTTTTGCAAAGTACGGATGAGGTGTGGAATCAGGGGGGGGAGAGGGGTGGGATTGAGCCAGCGAGATTCGGTGGCACTGATAAGCCTTGGGAGACATCAGGAGGAGTAAGACAGCAGGTTGACAGTGTCTCATCATCACTAAATAAATTGCACGGAAAATCACGCCAGCCAGGCACGGCGAGGGGGGGGGGCGGTGCGTTTTGCAGACCCCAGGGTGGACTTGCCAACATCAATTCACAAAAATAAAGTCGCAAACTTGGAGCCGCACGCGAGGTGAACAACTTCTCGGCCCAAAACGAAGGGAGCTTCCCCATGGAAATCTTCAGCGGCAGACCAAAATGAGACTCCCAGGACCCGCCTTTACGAGAAAATGCGTGGCGCCCAAAAATATGGAGATCGGCGAAAACGCAGCGACCGAGCTTAACGGGATTGAGTGGCAATACGGCGGGGTTCCTTTATTTAATTATTTATTTCATAAGTGCCCGACTCGTGAGCTGCTTGAAAGGAAATGAGGCTGTCAAAGCTCCAAGAGAGGATTGAGATTGTCGTGGTCTATCACGTGGTATTTCTGAGGTTCTTTCACGGTTGCCATGGCTGGCCACCAGTTTAACTAAGAGGACAAACTACAATAATAGCACTCAGTTGTCTGTCCACTCAATCCTCTCCTCACTCATGTTAACTACCTCCCCTGGTATGCAGGTCATGGGTTCAAACCCGACCATGGTGATGCCTGTATATTTGGAGTTTGCGTGTCTCTCTCTCTCCCCGTGGAAGTGTGGATTTTTTTTCCGGGTCCTCCAGTTTTTCCCTCCACATTTAGAATCAACGTCACGTGTTTTAGAGTATTTGGCCCCTAGAAATTTCCACGTGACGACAATCCACTTTCGTTGAGCTCTCATTTGTGGCCAGGTTTGCATCTGAAAAAGAGCCATAATAGAGCTCTGTGGGCCTTACCTGGTAAAATAAAAAAAAAAGTCTTAGTTTAATTTTAGGTTCGGTTGCGGGCTGTGGTGCTGTTTTGGGGAATGCACCGTTGTGCAATTGTCGCCGGGTGCGACTTGGGTTTGTTTTTGCCCGTTGGGGCGGTCCTCTCACATGTGAAGATTGGGCTCTCGATGAGTTGCACCAGCTTGTCCACCTCCGTGAGGAAGTCCACCGTCACCTCCAGTCCTGCGCTGGGCCGCAAGGTCGTCTGCATCAAGGAAAAGTTCGGCCGATCCACCTCGATCCGCGTGGCTCGCCCCACTCGCCCCCAACAACCACCCTACGCTCGCCCACACCTACGAGAAGACAACTCGCATTGACCCCGCAAGAACTACGACGCGGTCTTCGTGTGTGAATATCGAATTAACGTTCGGCCCTTTGTTGATCCACCGGTCTATTTGTTCAACCAGGTGAGAACTCAAGAGGCCGAGGATTGACTCATTTGCAAGAGCAGGTGAGTGAGTGAGCGGGCGAGCGAGAGAGCGGGCGGATAGGGCAGGCGAGCGACCGAACGAACGAGCAGCACAATCGCAATTCCACTCAAATGCACCAGGGAAGCGTGACCTACTTTTCACTTGCCCTGATTTCATTTCAGAGCACGTACTGTAATGCCACCATTACCTCATCGCCCCCTCCTCGGGGCCAGGAAACATTCTACCAGCCGCGGACACAACAAGTGGGCCCCGGAATGGGTCCATGGAACGGTTTAGAGGAATAAGTTTTCTTTAAGTAGCCGGAGTAAAAAAAGTAGCACATCATGGCGTCGTTGAAACAAAGAGGTTCACTGTTACTCGTGTTTTCCTTCAATGAAATTAGCAGTTTGGAGGTTATTAAAATTAACAATTCGAGGATTTTAAGAGTGCTGGTTAATGCACTCCACTGCAATCGTTGCAATCCAAGTTTGATTCCTGCCCGCAGCTAACATCAGTCGTGAGCGGTATCTGAACTGGTCCTGCTCGGACTGCCCCCTTGAATTCAACGCGCACGATCCAGCGAGGTGAAGGTCAAATAACTCCCGTGATTGACACGGCCATGGAGAGGCTGTCCGCTAGGCCAGCCGTGGATTCACAAAAGGGTTTAGATAATTTTGAGTACATTATTTTGAATGTCAAAATTGAAAGAAATATATGCATTTCGCAGCGATGAAAATGTGACAGCTAAATGACGACTAAACAAGAACTGCTCCTCGATAGCGGCGACAAAGATGCACCGACAGATGTACGTTGAACTTCTTTCGCACCGTATGTAACCGACCGTGCTAATCGGAGGTGTGTGGGCGAAGGACAACAAACTAAACTCAAAAAGCAGTTCTCAAGAAATGAGTTTTTAATTCAGATGTAAAAGTGCATATCTCCGGTGGCTTCCTAACATTGAAAGGAAGAGCGTTCCAGATGGCTGCAGATGCGCATTTTAAAGCGTGCGATGCGATGACCATATTTGTTCGATGGCGAGCCAAAAGCCGCTGGGAGGGTGACCAGAGTTGACGAGAGAAGGCAGTGTGGTTCATCTGTGGCAAGCGCAAATGTTCACTGTGAGATATGCTATACGAGGCCTAATTTTAGTGAGACATCGCTGCAATCAGCTGCCCTGTGTTATCGCCTCTTGTTAACAATCACAGGCCCACGGGTGGTCTAAGGACGTGACGCTTCATCCACAGCGAAGGGAAGCGACGACATCCCTTTCTCGGGCGATGCAAAAAAACCCGTGACGACAAAGACGACGCGACGGCAAAGGAAAGAGACGGCCGAAGCAATCTGGTGACACGGCGTTTGGCGAGATGAGCGGCCTCCGTACACGACAGCAGTGCAGCAATGCAGCAGTGCAGCAGTGCAGCAATGCAGCAGTGCGCGACAAGCACAAGTGTTCAGAGAGTGTGGTCTGTTGAGAGGCGGCGGTGGTGGTGGGAGGTAGGGTAGATCATTAAATGGCCTGAGATGGGAATGCTCGCTCTATCCCCGAGGCGATGACAAGAGAAGCCTGGATGAAGCTGGAGGAGATCGAGAGTTGGGGTCGGAGGCTAAATTCAGTCGTGTGCGTGCGTGCCAATGCCGTTGATTGTTTACGATAAAGTCACTTGCGATTGCGTTCGACTCGTGTGTGCTTGTCTGTTTACAATCTGGTGCAACAGACACCCCGTATCTGTAATTGTGCTACGATCGGTCTTGAAAATAATCTGCCCGAGTCGACTTGCGCTGCAGGGAATGTATTACTGAACGCTGATTTATGTTCGTGCATTCTTCTCTACATTCTAGATTTGAAGTTTTTGTGACTGCATACTCTTTGGTTATTTCGGTAAAGTCACGTAGGTTAAGAAAATAAAATAAAAAGTTAAAACACCTAATTAAATCACCACAGCGATTGTTTTCGCTGTGGTGGTCCCCACCTGATGAAGGACGCTTGTGTTGCACCCGAAACGTCGTGATTTAATTTAGTTTAAATTTTTAATTTTATTTTATTATTTTCACCTACGTGACTTTACCGAAAGAACCAAAGAGTATAGTATTCTCTACATATCATGTGACATCGTTGTTTTTGTCCTCCGATTTCTATTTTGCTTCATCACTGAACTTCATTTGATCCGTTTAGCTTTTTTGGCGGTCTGGTAACCCGGGTGGACCCTTTGAAAAAATGAGGCTCCATCGTAGTCTCTCGAGTGCTCACCTGGTTACAACAAATCGACTGGAACTTGAAACGTGATGACAAAACCCCTAATGCCAGTTCCGGTGAGGAGCTGCAGGAGTCGGCAGAGAATTTGAACGGGCGGGTGTAGGCCTCGGCAAGGTAAGGTAATTGTACCATTTTTACCGGGTAAAACGGTAAAAGTGTCGACATGCCAAGGGGTAAGGGTAAAGGGTAGGGTAAAAGGTAGGCTCGTTGCTTTTGACCTTTTACCTTACCTGCTAAAGGGTAAAAGGTAGGGTAGAGTGATTGTATTGTGGTAAGGTAAAAGGTAGGGTAAAGGTAGGCTCGTTGTTTTTACACTTTTACCTTACCTTGCCGAGGCCTAGGCGGGTGAATGGTTATGGAAAGAGAAATGCGGAGGAACAAATTGTGAGATCTTAATTTTGGAGATTTCGTGACTGCAGGAATTATTCTTTGGTTTTTTCGGTAAAGGCACGTATAAAAATAAAATAATAAATTAAATAAATAATTTAAATAAATAATTGTGAGAGTCGCAGGAGAAGGTAGAGGTCGCTTAAACATCACAGCGGAGGGGACAGCAGCTGGAATGGGCGAGACTGGTCAAGCATCTAGGAAGCAGAGACAGACGATGGGGGCGCCACGGTGGCGAGATGTTAGCTACCTCGCCTGGCATACAGCAGCCTGCTGTATATTTGGAGTTTGCATGTTCTCCCCGTGGTCGCGTGGATTTTTCTCCGGGCCCTCCGGGTTTTGATTTAACAGCACACAAACGGTGTGGCCACTCACAAACAGCACGAAGGCACAACTCCCACACCGTGCGTGTCACGTGACCGCCGCATTGCACGTACAACGCTCTCAGCCTCGTCTCGACCACCAACACCAGCTCGGAAGCTGAAAGTGCACGGCCAACAAAACCGTTTAGGCAACGAGATAAAACATCTAAAAAGTTTCAAAAACACGGCTGTCCCACTTGCACAACACACAGGTGAATCTGTCAGCAACAGGCCTTCCCCTCCTTCCTTCCAGAGAGGCACTTGGCAGCCCACAGTGTGCGCGGTGTATGCCTGGAAGCACTGGAACCGCAAGTTTTGTGTGCGGCACACACTTTGGGGCAATTGTTCAACTTTCCGCTAATGAGCGAGCGAGCGTGTGTGTGTGCGCCGAGGCGGTCAGCGTGTGCGGTAATAGCCGGATCAGGATGAATACTCTTTTGTAGGTGGCCTGGAAAAGAAACTACGGGGGCACACCACTTGCAACAAAAACACCACGGTGGCTAGGAGATGTTGACTACCTCGCCTGGTATACAGGAGGTCGTGGGAACGACCCTGAAAGCTTGCTATCTCTCGCTCTCTCCACGTGGTCGCGTGGATTTTTCTCCGGGTCCTCCGGTTTTTCTCATTTAGAATCAACATCGCGCGTTTAACAGTATTTGGCTGCAATATATTTCCACGTGGTAAGCCGCTTTGTTCATTCTGGATAAACCAATGCAGTGAAGCTCCCTCTTATCTTAGAAACGTGCGTTTAGAGTATTTGGCTGCTAGAAATGTCCACGTGATAAGCCGCTCCGTTGAGCTATCATTTGTGATAGCCGGGTCGCTTCTGACAACCAGCTACATAGCTCAGTGGTGCCTCAACTGGTAAAATACAATCGCTTAGTTTTTTTTAGTTTAAACGTGGCTTGTACTCCCGAGCGAGTCAGGGGCCGCTGCGATGGACGGCGCGGAAGCACAAAAGCCCCCCCCCCCCACCTCCCGCCACAGGGTAGCCACTTGGTTGGCCGTGAATACGAGCGCACGGCGATGGTTAAATTGGCCATTGGATCGCAAACTATTGTTGCCAGCAGTGGCAATTAAAAGGTGGCAAAAAATGCACGAGTTGGCAAATATACCTCCTGGCACATATCCGTCCCTTCATACAGAGAATAAAAAAATATAAAATCCGAGGGACAGATACGTTGATATTCTTTCGAACCGTACGTAGCCAACCGTGCTAATTGAAGGTGGAGTGTTGAGTCTATGGGTAGTGATGAGTCTATGGGTAAGTACAGGCATACCTCGGGTATACGACCTCTTTGGAATACGTCGAGTTTGGTATACGTCGTGTTTTGACGAGAAAAAAATGTCTTGGGATACGACGTCTTGCTTGGGATACGACGCGCTTGCTAGAACTTGTATGGGTCGGGATGAGTCACCGCGTACCCGCGTAGACCCCGTTCACGACTCCTCCCCTTCCTCACCACCATCCTCGTAGGCGATCAACTCCCCTCAGCAAGGTACAGTGATGTTAAACTTAATTTTTTATTTCAATTTATTTAAATTTATTTATCCATTTATTTAAATTTACGTATGCATTTTAGTAATAAGTAGTGTCTAAATTATTTTATACAACGCCATTAATGTATATGCCATATAAAATATCATTTCTTATACTCTGGAACTGATTATTTCCTTTCCCTTTATTTCGTATGGGAAAAATTCGTTTGGTGTCTACGTCATTTTCGGTATAAGTCCTACCTTCTGGAACGAATTAACGACGTATACCGAGGTACCACTGTATTGTATGTTGATATTCTTTTGCACCGTACCTCGCCAACCGTACTAATCAAAGGTACGAAAACGTGAAGGAGGCGGCAAATTCCCTGCTAATTTATTTTGTTACTTGAATTCCCCGCAGAGGAAGCCAACGATTATATCGCTTCATCAATTAAGTTGTGTGAAATTGAGAGTACGAAATAACGGAGACAATGGGCCCGGATTTTAGTTTCCGTGTTGAGAGAGCGGTCGGCCCCGCCCCGCCTTGAGCCTGGCAAGTTTCAGGATGCTTCTCTACGTTTCTCTACGTTTCATTTGCAGTGGGTGACAGCGCCGCGGTAATAGCCAGTCCCTAAACAAACGCCGAGCAAGGCAAAAAATGACCCTGCCTGAAGACCTCGGGGCCCGGGCGACCCATTCACGTGCGAGATCCAAGATGAACGAGATGTGAAGAGGGGGGGGTGAGGGGATGGGGAATTAGCGGTAGGCATGGGGAGAGATTACCAAGAGGGAAGAGGAACGGCAGTAGTGGGGAGATTGCAGGGTCGTTTGGAGCTGGGGGATAAAAAAAAGTGAGTTTTGAGGCAGGAGCGGAGGGGGTTGGTGGGTCGTACGTACGTCGTGAAACTCTCTTCCCGTGAGAATCAAGCCGCCATAACCCGGCTTGCCAGAAGGGCAGCACAGGGAAAGTGTGGACCCCACATTTTTCCCCGTCTGTACGGGATAGAGCGTTACCCCCTTGCACACGTGTGGGTTTTCTCCGGGTGCTGTTATTTCCTCCCAAATGTGTACGTTCATTAAATGGCCGACGAACACCTCGATATACAGAGGGAACTGCAGAGCTTGGGCAAATGGTGGCGCCAGCGACTCACCGCGTGGCAGCTGTCTCTCCCGCTCGTCCGCGGTGCCTCCCTCGCGCCTCAGATTAGCTGTGCGGCAGGGTGCATTACGAGGCTGAAACTATTGTTACTGTTATTATTGTTATTCTTGGTTCTTTTCAGGAAAGTCACGTAAAAGGGAAATAAAAATAAATAATAATAAAACATAACAAGATAAAATTCTCACGACGTTTCGGCCACAACACAAGCAGCCGTCCTCAGGTGAAGAAACGGAGCTGTCGGAAAGACAGCGTCCTAATAAAAAGTTGTTATCGTCATTCAAAGGTGACGCAAACACCGTGGACAAGGTTGGCAAGCGTGCGTGAGGGCGTGACCTAAGGATACAACTTCTGGATGAGGTGGTAGGCGTGCTTGTAGTTCTGGGTGAGGAAGCACAGCGACACGGTCGCCACGGGGTTGTGGCACCAGGAGCGGTACAGCGAGCAGAACAGGGCACGGCTCTCCTGTGGGCAAAGGGGGCGGGGTGACACCACAGTCATCTCCACAGACACAGTTCCCCCATTGCGTAGCTTCTGATAGACTGGTCGACCCGCGTACGATTCTCGCTCAGGGTCACCAACAACAGTGACGATGATCTGAGCCGGTCCTGGGCCTCCCCAAGGTCGACTCGGCTTCATTTGAGTATCTGGTGCGGTGTGTAAACATCGCCACTGGAGTGGAAAAGGTGGCCGGGCGTGGTGCTGCCCGCCCACCCCCTTGTCTGCCGTGACGGCCTCCTCCATAGGTGTTCGCTAACAGCACTTGCCCCAACAGTTAGTTGCAGGCGACACGGGGGATCGTCTTTGTTGTTGTTCGCCACCGTGCGCACGGCGGGAGCTACGCGGCGCGACGGCCGGTGCGTCGCGCTCCAACAACGGGGAAACCGAGAACCGACATCCGTCACAAAAATTAAATAAACCCCCCCCCCCCCCCCGCCGGTATGTGTCGCTCACGAGAGGGCGGGGCAGGCCGCGACCCTCGCGCAACTCGAGATGCGCTCTCGACTACCGGGGCAGCTCCCAAAGCGACGACGAAAATCGATAAACCCCCCACCCCCCGCCCCCACCACAGTGCGAAGCGAATGCCCCCCCCACCAACCTAACACGACGCAGGGTGCTCCCACCCTAAAGCAATCGCGGCTCTCTCCCTCCCGTCGCCGCCAACACCACCATCAACCACCCGCCCGATACAATGAGTCAGTCCAGTCAAGAGGGGGGGGGGAGGGGATAGGCGCAAGGAATGCCGCCCCCCCCCCCCACCGTCCCCCGGGGAAGGCCGCGAGTTAATTACCGCCCTATGGGACACACAACTTAATTGACGATGACAGGTTGCACACAACTTAATTGATAAAGCACCAAGCGTATGTACGTTATTCCTTCCTCGGTGCTCCTCCCTTTCCTTTTTCCATTCCCCGCTCCCCGCTTCTTCCCCCCACCGCTCCCTCTACTCCCTTACTGAAGCTCTTCGTTCCCCTACCTCCTTCCCCTACCCACGTACGAGTCCCTTCGCACACCCCACGTGCGGTCCCCACTCGGTGGGGCAGCGGAACCCAATCTCCTCCCTCCCCGAAGTTCTGGAGCACAGCAGAGTTTGGGATTTGTTTCCATGGAGCTTCTGTACCCCAACCCCCCGCCCCCACCTATGTAGTGGTTCGTACTCTGTAACAGTCTCCTACAAATATATATACACACACACAGTGTACTTCAAAAAAACGTTAACACTTACATGGGATGTAAAGCTTTCGTGACTGCAGGGATTCATCGTCTTGGTTCTTTCGGTAAAGTCACGTAGAATGGAAATAATAAAATAATAAAAATAAAACATAATAAAACAATTCTCACAGAGAATTATTTTATTATTTTATTATGGTTAATTTTTTTATTTCCATTCTACGTGACTTTACCGAAAGAACCAAGAAGATGACTTACATGGGACTATCGTTTTTAATAGACATTACCAAATGTAATGTTAATAGCTTCAAAGAGTCTCCACTTGTTCGCCATTATTGTCAACACATGCCGAGAATCTTCTCCAGGTGGTCTCCAGAGCCCGGAGGCACATTGCTCGTGGTGTTGTTGCAAATTCTCAGGGGTGTAAACATTTATTTTTGGAAGCACCCTGTATAGAATAATAAAAAACAAACTCACGCAAAAATAATCATTAAAAAAAGTAACCCGTAAAAACAAAGTTTTTCACTATAAATCCTTTATATGCGTGGCGGCTAGAGTCCTCTCGTCCTCTGGCTTGAGATGGCTGCCACCTATGGGTCAGATGATTGCCTGCCACCATTAAGCAATTGGTAATTAAATATTTAAAAAAAATTCCTAAAAAGTGTGAAGTTATGGAAAAAAAATTTCACGAAAATAAATTGTCACGCACAACGAGTCTGTGTGCAAAATGTCAGCTCGATTGGATCACGGGAAGTGGGTTAAAAAACGACCGAAAGATTTGCACGGTCGTAAGCGCGCAAGCAAGCAAGCAAGCAAGCGAACTTAATATAAAGGATTTAATAATTTCAGCAAGCTGGTCAAGCGAGGGGGTGTCTGCGAGCGTGCGTGAGCGTGCGTGAGCGAGGCCTTACGGCGGTGTGCAGGTCCTTGAGCTGGGTGCGTAGCTCAAAGAGCTCGGTGGACGTGAGCAGGATGGAGTTGAGCGTCTGCACCATGGTGGAGGCGAAGCGCAGGTCGCCCTCCGCCAGCAAGATCTCCGCCATGGCGTGGAAGATGTTCTCCGCGTTGAGCAGCAGGCACAGCTGCCTGTTCGCAATCAGAATCAAAATCTTTACTTGCACTGGAGGAATCCGGTGGAGCTATAAAGCGAGATTTTTTTCACAGATGTTTAGTAAGGGTAGGTCAGGGCGCCACGGTGGCTAGGAGATGTTGACCGCCTCGCCTGGTATACAAGGTCATGGGTTCGATTCCGAACCCGACGCCTGCTGTATACAGTAAAACCTTGGATTGCGAACATAATTCGTTCCGGAAACGTGTTCGTAACCAAAGCACTCGTATATCAAAGCGAATTTCCCCATAAGAAATAATGGAAACTCAGATGATTCGTTCCACAACCCAAAAATAAGTATTCATATAAAAATGATTCATACAAAATACCTTTTTATATTTGGATTATTTAAATTTTATATAAAGAAATCAAATTTATCAATTAAATTTAATCGTGGCTGGTGTGAGGGAGACGAGAGAGAGGAGGGTTATTGTGTAGGTCGACTTTCACTTGCAGTACAGTTACTAAAGAACAGTCACTACACTTGGACACAAAATACAAAAATGCCTTACGCACACACTCGTGGTCACAACACTATTGTAAACAGTATACGCTCGCACGGATGTTGTCTATACGAGTGAGGCACGCCGACTGAGACCGAGCATGGGACACGATTACCCACAATCCCGCAGCGAGAGAGAGAGAAGAACCATCGGCTCAGTTGTGATCACGTGACGCTCGGCAGACAAAGCGTATACTGTACGTACTACAGTACTCGTATTGCAAGACCTCGGTTGTTTATCAGATGAATTTTTATTAAAAATTTTTGCTCGTCTTGCAAAACACTCGTAGACCAAGTTACTCGCAATCCAAGAGGTTTTACTGTATTTGGAGTTTGCATGTCTTTCTCCCCGTGGTCGTGTAGATGTTTTTATCTCCTGTTCCTCCGGGTTTTCCCTCCACATTTAGAAACATGCGTTTAGATTATTTATATTATTTGAGTGCTATACATTTCCACACCGTGACGAAAAGCCACCTCGTTGAGCGGTCATGTGGTAGGTCGCTTCTTGAAAAATAGCTACATAGCTCAGTGGGCCTTGCCTGGTAAAATAAAAAAATAGTTTAGTTTTAGTTTTGCCTGCTTAAAAAAAAGTCGTCTTGTCGTGGATAAATGCGGATATTGGGATCCGTGAAAAGCACCCCCCACATCACCAAGGATAAGATCCCATTCACCGCATTTGAACAGCAAAAGCATAATCATCAATACATTTCTTGCCCCGAATAAAGATCACTCCAAGAGCAGCCAAGACAGAGGCGCCGTGAACTCGGTTTGAGGTGAAGCCGTTAAAATTTTAATGCGCACTCAAACTTTCGCTTGGCGCGCGCCATTAGCGAATGGGGGCGCCGTAGTGGGGTGGGGGGGGGCGAAGGGGAGCGCGAGGTGGGGGGCACAAGGGAGCGGGCGGGGGGGGGCTCACGGAGAGGAGCCGCGGGGAGGAGGAGGCTGCGCTCGCGCGTGCGCAAGTGGGGCGGCTCGGGGAGGGCTCGCCAGGGCGACGGCAACAGCGACAGCTCTCGTCCCGCACCGGGGGAATCGGGGTGACGTTCCCCGCAGGCGCGGCGGGCTGCCGGGTGACCTACTTTTCTCCCCCCCCCCCACCCCTTAACCGAGCCATGACCCATCTGCCGGGTAAACAGCGGCCTTCCTCCCCACTCCACCGCCGCCCTTCACATCTCTTCCCCTTGACACAACGTAACGCCAATCGTCGTTCACCAACCACGCGGTGTTTGGCCGCGAGCGGGAATCGAACTCGGGTCGCCGGGTTCACGGAGCAGTGCACTCACCGCTCCGCACAATGACACAACAACAACAACCGCCGTTCGCCACTAAGCGGCGGTGATGTGACCGTGGTGCTCGTGCCATGCTAGGTGCACCTTGAGGCCACGTGAAGTGTCGAAGGCTCGCTGCGGACGGGAGGTCCCGGAACAAACCCAGGTGCCATGGGATGACCAACTGCGATGGCTGGCAGATGCACCGACTGTGTCCCATGCTGTGTCTCAAGCTGTGTCAACGCTATGTCAACACTCTGCGCTTTAGCCACCCCGATGCTCTGCTTGTTGTTGTGAGCCATCACTCCTCTGCCATCTGTTGTTAATGGAGGGCGACTGCCTCCAACTGGCCGGTAGCAGTGTCCTTCACGAGCCTTCTCCCCACCCCCTATTGTCTGACAACAAACGTGGGCCTGCTTTGATTCGCACAACTCTGGCACTGTTAGATACTTGTAATGATTATAACGTTTTGAATAATGACGGTGGGTTTTTAATCAGTCGAGTGATATTCAGACTTTGTGCCGAGCCCACCCAACCTTCAACCCGTACTGCTGACCAGCGTGGTGAAGTATGGTCAAGCAGAAACCACGACTGACATCATTTGGCAATGGATTGACAAAGTTGCTGTAATTTGTTTAAAGTATTAGAAATGTATGCTTGTGTGATGCTTCGTATGATGAGGTTGACCATATGTAACGAGCTGTGATTTAAATGTAGACATGCGAGTGCTTGTGGTGACTGGTTAAAGGTCTCCGTGCCCATGCAAGTTCCCCATGGGGAGACCTACATCCATCAGTGGATGGACCAAGGGCTGTCAATTTTAAATCGTGTTAGGCTATGAAATACCGTTGGAGCTAGCCAAGTAAGTTAATACACGCATTACTTCGGATAAAGCGGGCATTGACAGCTTGTACTCTGTATGGCTTATATGCTGCATATTAAGCACTCCGAAATGCAGGTCAAATTCCTGAGCGGAGAAGTAAAATTTGAATATATTTTTGCGACCCAGTCGCAAAAAATACAAAAAAATTATAATTAAACTTTCAGCATTTGAGACAATATTTGATCATACTCTTGTGTAAAAAAAAAGTGAGTTTCATTTCCGCGTTAAAATCTGCCGTTCGTTTTCGGACGGGATAACTGACGTGGATTTTTGCAATCAGGAGGATCGCGTTTGAAAACGCGATCATATTGCGAGTCCAGCTTAGCTACTACACACTTCGGATAGACGGAAGCATGGCCAAGCATCGCACAATTCCCAGCTAGGGAGAAGAGTGATCCAGGCTGATGAACAGTTGTGACCAAGTCGCAATAATAATAAAAAAAACTAATTTCACTCTCAGTATTTGATATTATATTTTTGTAAAAAAACAAAAACGTGAGTTTCATTCCCGCGTGAAAATCCACCGTTCGCTTTGGGGTCGGGATTTCCGACGCGAATTTTTCCATCGGGAGAGTCGCGTTTTTAAATGCGATCCGATTGCGAATGCAGCTTAGCTACACACTTCAGATGGACGGAAGCGTGGCCAAGCAGCGCCGATTCCCAGCCAGGGAAAAGAGCGATCCAGGCCGATTTCAGACGGCCAGAATTGGTCAGCGGAATGCACAGCCAATGGAATAATTCCCACCCCCAAGTCCCGGGGCATGGCCTCAAAGCAACACGAGAGGGCCCACGGCGCCTGTTTTGTAAGAAGCATTGCATGAATTTGTAGTGCGCGCATTATTGATAACAATAATTCGCTAAAACGTGCACGGTGTCTGCTCGCTCTCAAAGAGGGAGGGGACGACGAAGAGGCGTGGGGAGGAACCACAGATGAGCGACAAAGGCAGCAACCAGGCAGTGCGACGGGGGCAACGCTGTATCCCACTACAGGTTGAACAAGCGGCACCTCACACTTGGTGCAACTCAACCTTCTCCTGCCGAGCCAGAGTAGGGCACCTCCGATTTAGCACGGATGGCTACGTACGGTGCGAAAGAAGTTCAACATACATAGACCCCACACTTGCTGTGATCCAACCTTCTCCTGGCGAGTCAGGGTATAGCACCTCGGATTAACACAGTTGGCTACGTACAGTGTGGCACACTTCCTCGACATCCACGGGAAGGAAGTTTTGCAACATTTGTGCGATCCACCAAACCTCGCTCCTGCCACCAGTGCTGGATTAGAGGCCACTTTGCATCGCCATCACCGCGAGGCATTCATTTGAAGTTTAAAAGATTGCAGTGGCACGGCTTCGAAGCTGCAATAGTCTTGCGCAATCCAAGCAGCCACAGATGAGGCTCTTTTGAAACCTGACACACGAATATATTTTCAAAGACGACTCGTCACATCACCCCCCTGGGGCCTTAATGTTGGCCCTCAGGTAACTCATTTACAAATGTAATTAACAAGTGACCTGAAGAAATATCTTAAACCTAGTGACCATTAGCGGATTAATGGTTCACCGATTACCCCCCACCCTCACTATTCCGTGAATTGTCTGCAGTTCAGGACTGCGATTCAGAATCGGAATATTTATTTATACTGGAGGAATCCGATGAGCTATAAAGCTCTTTGTCACAGATGTCCAGTCGTGGCGGGTAAGAACGTTGCAACACCAAATAGCACAAAAACATGATAGGAGTTCAAAGTACAAGAAAGTAAACTAATCACCCAAGCACGTACAAATACAACTAAACTAAACCACCCACATCTTACGAGGCAAAGCCCCACAGAGGTAAGAATCAGAAAACATCAACGCTGACGCACGTCGCGCGACCTTCGAAGTCCGATCTTCTAGCGCGCGATGGGAAAACGCCAATCTCACGGGAACGTCCCAGTATTGGCGATCCACTCGGCGGCCCCCCCCTCCACCCCCCACCTGACAGATCTGTGGTGGGCAGGGTGGATGCGATGCACTTCCACGCTTTGCGACTCGTGGCCGCGGTCGCGCTTTTGGGGGTCGCATCCCTCCACCTTCCACCTCGCGAAGCAGGCGCCCGCCGCGAAAGCCGACACGTTAAAATGCTGCCCAGTATAGCACGCTAGTTATCTTACCGCACTGGCTACTGGCAACGCCATTGGGTCGCGGTGCCAGGCTAGGTTGGCGTGCGTCGCGTTGCGGACGAGGTTAATACAAAAATTGCCTCGCGTATGTCAATAAAAGGCCTGAATACAAAGCGCGCGTTATTCCAAAATGGCGTAGCACAAAAACGCGTAAAGCGAGGATTGCCCGTGCATACGTACGTCGCCGCCCAACCTCGATGCAAACAATACCGCAGCGTACGAGCATTCTCAGCAGAGCCAACAGACAGCGTTGAAGTCTTTTCAATAAACGCATAAAGCAGTTCTCAGCACTGCTCGAGCGAAAATTCGAAACGGGAGTCAAAACAGGTATCCTCAAATGTTCAGCGTTAAGTGCTGGTCAAATGATTAGGTTGGATCAGTCCGAGCGCCATCCCGCCTGACACAAATCGTGGAATCGTTAATCCGATCACGTCACGGGTATCCAGAACGCGGCGCGGGCACAGAGCGTCCCAGGGTGGCACGCAAACCGCGGAGGTGACACGGTGGGGGGGGGGGGGGGGCCGCAGGCGGAACCAGACGCCCCCCGTCCTCTCGGGTCACCGCTCAAGGCAGCCCTACTGTGGCCTTGCAATAAATCAGAGTAACGAAGCAACGGGTGGGGTGAGGAGAGGGAGGGAGATGTGGGTTGGCGAAAGCGGCCTTGTTCTTTTTTTTTTACGGGGAACCCTACACGTCGGGACGACGAGGAGGGCGGTGACGGCGATGCCGGTGATTGGTCGCTGAGAGGAAGAGGCGAGAGGGCCATGATGAGCAAATGTCGAGAGAGTTTGAATCCAACGCTTTAGGCTTTTCGGGAACGATGTTCTTGACGACGAGGTTTATTTCGGGTTGGATAGCGTAAAACGCAAACGTGTCGTATAACCCACCACGTTCACTCGATGCAGACGATTCGTAAGGTTCGTCACGCGGAACAGAACGTGCCGATTTGGTTGCTACTTCAAGCACACCGGTGGGTTAGAGGGTAAATGTTAACGGCGAAGCACAGGAACGCAGTAAACGTGGAATGTTGGGCCCAGCGTGGGCCCAACGGTTCCAAACATATCCCAACTTTGGCCCAATGTTGTATGCTTACAGGGTAAGTAGTGCCATCATTGTCAGCTCACGAGGACTCGTTCTCTTGTTAGGTTTAGGACTGAAAATTGCAGTCCCTTTTCTCCTCCTTCTGCCTTGCTAAGAATTTAACCCAATAGCAGCTATTTGGCCACATTCTTTTCGACTAAAACCGTCACAAACTTAAATTACATTCATCGTGGACAAATATCATTTAACTACATAGCAATAATGTATTCCAGTGGCTTGAATAACTCAGCAAAATCTACCTCCAACTGATTAGATTTTACTCATTTACACCCACAAAGACTCCAAATAAATACACTAATTTGAATCAAATTAGGGCCATTGAAAATCATGCCGATTCGTACATTCGACAGTTGTCTTAATCACCATGAACTTCACTTTGGGATGAACACAGACGCAAATAAACGTGTTTCTGTCTTCAGGGTTCCACCCCACGGGATAAATACCGTGGTGCGAGTGCGTTCAGGAGAGATGCCACCATTGAGAAGGAGACATGGCACCCTCGACAGAGATCTCTGCCACCGTCAATTTAATAAAGCCATCGATGCTGTCACTTAAAAGTAAACGAGATGACGAGAGCACGCTCTGCTCGACATCTGCAGCTATGACTTTCTCAAAATGCAACGATTTCCTCGTCAATTACTTCAACTCCGTCTCTATTATCTAATCCTCACCACGCCCATTCTGAAAGGAGTGTTTTATCGTCGTGAAATTGTCAGTCGCGTGCGAGCGTCTCATTATTTGGAGTGTGGACATGGTGGCTGTGCGGTTAGCAGGGCGTGCGATCTCGCTGCACGTGCTGCGAGACTGCTGTGCCGTGTGCATGTATGTTGAACTTCTTTCGCACCGTACGTAACCAACCGTGCTCATCGGAGGTGCGGGGGAAAGACAACAAACTAAACACAAAAAGCAGTTCAATCTAGATTTAAATCTAGATTTCAAAGTGCATAGCTCCAGTGTCTGCATCGTCAGCTGTGCCGCAGAAGGGCACACGTTTTTCGCCGCGTGCTCACGGCGGAGGTACCGGATGATGAAGGCTCCGCGATGCTCCAGGAGTCGAGGCTCGGTGCCAAAGCACTGGAGCAGCTTGATCATGAAGCGATGGAAGTAGGAGTTCATGGAGGGAGACAGCGGCGATCGGTCTGTGGCCTTCCAAGCTGCCGAGCCTGCGACGGTGGGGGAAGGAAACCCGAGGGTCGGCGGAGGGTGGGAGGAGTGGGCGGCGCACGTTGGCATTCGAAGCTTCGCAGAATCGTTGACGCAACAAGTTCACGTTGAGCGTGAACATTCGCAAGCGCGTTCCACAAAGCCTTGCGACAGTTGCCCATTGCTTTACGGCCGCTGGGAAGTGCCGCTTTGGAGACTATGTTTAAAACTTAGCAAAAATATATTTTACCAGGTAAGGCCCGCTGAGCTATATAGCTTTTTTCAGAAGTGACCTGGCCACAAATGATAGCTCGACGAAGTGGCTTACCGTGTGGAAATATATAGTAGCCAAATAATGTAAATGCGGGATGTTGATTCTAAATGTGGAGGGAAAAACCGAAGGACCCGGAGAAAATTCCACGCGACCACGGGGAAAACATGCCAACTGAAAATATACAGGCATCAGGGTCAGGATCGAACCCATGTCCTCCTGCATACCAGGCGAGGTAGTTAACATCTCGTCACTGTGGTGCCCAAAAACCTTTTTTGTAAATTTTTTCCTTTTTTGTAATTTTACGTAAGACAGCCATAGAAATGGGCACAACAATACGCAGTGTTGACAACGGCTTATTTCTCGCCAAGTAAACATTTATCGATCGGGGGCTGTGAATTCGCAGGCGAATTTCAACGCCTGCGAATGGCTTCCGACGAAAACTACAAAAAAAGCTGCCTTCGGCATAAAAATTTGAACTCCATGTCACACGACGTCCACTTTGTTTTCCTGAAACAACACCTTAAAAATATAAAACTTTAAACGCCATTGCTGTTAAGCACATTACCATCAATGGATTGCATTACCTTTGGTTGCCTTTTGAAAGAGAGTTTGACTGCCCACATCAAGACAAGAAAATAAATCATTTACCACATTTACGAGCCGAGCACGATGGCTTTTACAAGTTATGAAAACCCTACCGACGCAGAAAACATAAATACTCCAGTTGTTTGACACGGTTACACAACTTGTTCGCGACGAGGTAATTTCCTGTTACAATGAGCGCAAATGAAGAATAAAATTCCATTTCAAAGTACTCGCTCTGAAGGCTGCCGGCTGATTTATGGTTTAATCTTTTTCTACGCGCGCCTCCAAGTATTTATTTAATAACCACACGCACGTGCTGGCCGTGTCGAGATGCCAATGCAGCGTTTCCGTTCCAACAGGAATGAAAACAAGAATGAAAATGGCAAGAATTATTGAGAAAGAGAAGCCTTGTTGGGTCTTTGGACTCTTCTTCACCCAGCCACCCCACCCCTGCTGCACTGGAATGCTTGGCCAAGTCTATTAATGAGTGTTTATGCACTATTAAATAATATTAATAATATTATTAAAGATCATCTTGACTTAAAGATTTTGTGACTTCAGAAATTCACGTTCTTTGGGTCTTTCGGTAAAGTCACGGAGATAGAAAAAATAATAACAATAAATATATTTAACTGGCTTAAGCGAAATACCCAAAGAATAACAATTAAATAATAAAAATGAAAATAAAGTGAATCAAACATAACGACGTTACGATCGCAACACAAGCAATCGTAAAAAAAAGACCTCTTTTTTTTCTCCTGATGACGATTGCTTGTGTTGCGATTGAAACGTCGTGATATACATTTTATTATTATTTTTAATTCACTTTATTTGTATTATTTTATTGTTATTATTTTTTCTATCTACGTGACTTTACCAAAAAGACCCAAGGAATATTATTAAAGATGATTACTTATTTATCCAGCAGTCACACTGAGCCTTGGGACTCGCTGCATTTGGTTCTTACCTTTAGATGTTTTTTTTTCCAGCCAATTAATGACGAGTCGTGTTCATTACATATGCGGGAGGGAGGGGGCAACGCTCTATGCCCTATACAGATGGAAAAACAGGTGGCGATTAGTCCACTTGTTGTATGCCTTCTCTTGGCGAGCTAGGGTATAAGCGCCTCCTCGTCACCCACGGAAGGGGAGTTTCACAAAACATCTGTGCAATGATCCACCAACCTTTGCCTGCAGTGCTAGACTACAGGCTGCATGCATAGACACCAACGCCGGCCGTGTGGGACTGAACCTGGGGGGGGGGGGGGTATTCGGGGAAAAAAACCCACACTTTTTTCCTGGGCTACTTCACAGCCCCTTCCCTCCCCCGACACCTATAGCACCTGGCAAGCCCTAGTGGGTTCAGCCACGCACGTCTTCGCCAGGCTCGAACCTGCTCAGGCTCCGAGATCAGACAGGATTTGGGGCGTATTCGGTGAATTGGTCCAAGGCTATTGGGCCACGTGTTCACAGAGAGAGGCATTCTCGCAATAAGCGCCTCTAGTATTCAATATCGAAGGTATTAACATTGCATGCGATCTTTGTGTTCTTACGCGAAGGCTGTTGCCAGGATGACTTGGCATGCGCAGGCAAGCTCCTGCACGTAGCCATCAACAAAGCGAGGCTGTCTGCTGGAAGCTGCTCTGTATGCACTGTGTTATGCCGTGTGTGTGTGTGAGAGCGTAAGAGTGCAGCGGTTAACACGGTGAGCTGCAAACCCGGCGACCCGAGATCGATTCCTGCTCATGACAACTATCTGAACTGGTCCTGGGCTTCCCCTAGGTCAACTCGGCCTCAAATGAGTACTTGGCGCGGTGTGTAAACATCTCCACTCGGGAGACAAAGCGGCCTGGCGTGGTGCTGGCCACCCGTCCCCTCGTGTGCCGTGCCGGCCTTCGTAGGTGCGACTCGCAAACAGCACTTGCCCCAACAGTCTGTTAAATGCTATCGAGCGGGGGGGGGTTGTCTTTGTTGTTTTAGCTATGGGAGGAAATTGGAGAAGCTGGAGGAAACCCATGCAGAACGGGGGGAGAACACACAAAACTCCACACACAATGCCCACAAAGGGGTCGTGTGATTCCAAAGTTCATTGAGGACCGTGCCGCCAGCGGTCTTTCGAAATGGAGAGCCGGACTGTGCGAGGTTCCCCTCCGCCCTGGTGGAAGACAAGAACCGCTCCCCTCCTCCGGTCCAGCAGCTGACACTGACGCTTTTGGCATCTCTGTTGAGAAAAGCCTCGCTCGACTGAAGATTCTAAACGTTGCCGACTGCATATTCAAATACTCTCTAACCTTAAGCATTCGTGAGTTAAACATTCAAAAGAGGTTGCATTTAAATATATATTAAATTTCGATTGAAAGCTTTCGTGACTGCAGGGATTCATCTTTTATTATTTCCCTTCTACGTGACTTTACCGAAAGAACCAAGAAGATAAATATATATTTTTAAGGCTAAACAATGCTCCTGGAACATGCAGCGAATGGTCGGGACATCTTGCCTAAAAACACACGGTGGTACTACGACCAGAAAAAAAAACGCGCATCAGAGCAGGGCTGTCCATAGTTGGGTGATGTGGGGCCCGGGAGAAACACACTGTGTGAGACCCCCCCCCCCACCGGCGCCTTCAAACTAAACCAGACCTATTACATCTGACACAGTGAAGTCGAAGCTTTCAGGGATTCGCCATGAAACGGCATATCAGTACCAAAACGCAACGCACCGATAAATGAACCCAAAAAAATGTGCAAATACTGCGTTAACTTCGTATCTATCTGTTCCTCCGCTTAAAAAAAAAAAAAACCTGCAGCTCGGGTTGTGGAAGCTCAGCTCCCATGGCGGTTGCAGAAATCAATCGGTTTAACTCTCCACAAAGACCCGGAGAAATTACATCGCCGTCGATACAACGTAGCAGATTACCGTAGCCGCTTAACAACACGGCTAGTTTCCGTTGATAAAACAAAATGCAACTTTGATTTTGAATTCGGAATGCACTGTGAAGGACCGCAAATTAAACCAGAAGCAAAGGGAGTAATAAACGGCTGACTTGGGAAATCCATACGAACTCTCGTTTAACTTTCGAGAAACTCAACGTGGTGGGAAAGATGAAAACAGTTTCATTTGAAGAGAACTGCCATTTCAACAAAGCCCCTGCGTGCGTGCCATCGGTGCCCACAGTAAATAAGATGCGCTCGAATCCCGCAATTGACGATGCCATCTGCTGGCATGCAACGTACACAGCAGGCTGATGGAACACGGCAAATTTAGAGCAATCACTGCCATGCAATCGTGACTCTTGCGTTACCCACGGTCGCCGCGTTACCCACGGTGATGAATACCCTCACGGTGCGGTTTCACATCGTCACACGTCTCACTGGACTGACGATCGTTCATGTGTGCGCTGGCAAAAGCATTGCAAACGTGCCTCCGCATGCCCTGGAGCAGGCAACGAGCGATACATTACCAATTTACAATTTACAGGTGACGTTTCGGGCAACGGCCCGGCCCTCCTCATTATTTTTAAGTGGTGTATGCATACTTACCTAACCAACAACTTTTTGTTGAGCAAACATACACTGCGAAACATAATAAGAGGTTTTTACCCTTCCTGCCAATAAAGGAGGTGTTAAGAATTTGAAGCTTTCGTGACTGCAGGAATCCATACTCGTTGGTTCTTTCGGTAAAGTCACGTAGGTACAAACCTACGTGACTTTACCGACGTGACTTTAACGAAAAAACCAAAGAGTAGGTGTTAAGGAATCAAGTCCGCATTAACCACACACAGTACTTATTAGTCTTACTTTGATACTGGCAAAAAAGGTCCCATGACACAACCGTGCACCGTTTGAAATGTCAATGGGACGCATTACCTGCGGAGCTGCCCGGGCTGGTGCTGAGATGAGGTGGCGCATGCAGGCCAGGCGCCGTGCCCGAGATCGCGCTGCCGCCGCCGTCGCCAGACAAGGCCTCGGCAAGCTGGCCGGCCGGAGACGAGGCAATCTCTGCCAACACCTCCAGGTCCTTGAGGATCACCTGTGCGCGCCAACGACAAAGGTGAACCCGCCCCGTATAGCTTTTACAGACAACATACATACGTACATACGCTCTTCCTTCCGATGTTAGGATGCGACTGGAGCTATGCGGTTTTAAATCTCAATTGAAAAGTCATTTCTTTAGAACTGTGTTGCCCTTACCCCACACCTCCGATGAGCACGGTTGGGTATGTACGGTGCGAAAAAAGTTCAACGTACGTACACAAGTACGAGCGAGTAGCAGCCTTGAAGGACGGCACGGCACACGAGGTGCACCATGCCCGGCCTATGCTATACTTTTATTCTTAAAGGCCACACACACGCACGGCGTTACTGGCGAACGCGTCGAGTTTCACGTTAGGCGTGCGTCGCGCACACCACCGCCAGGAAGCAGCAGCGGCGGCGGCGGCATCACAACGTAAATTCGCTTGACCTTAGTCTGTACATTCGAGGGTTGAGAAGCCCACCGATTAAATGCATGAAGGCTCGCTCACCTCATCCGAGTCGTCCGACAGCGTCTTGAGCAGCACCGGGAAGAGCCGCTCCGTGTGACGGAACATCTGCGCACGCCTCGAAGCACAGAGACGCGTCGCTCAACGAGGCAACACGACGCCAAAACCGAGCACAGTCTGTGTGCTCCGTACGAGTTCAGAATCAGCATATTTATTTCAACTGGAGGAATCCGATTAAGCTGTAAAAGCTCTCTTTCACAGATGTCCAGTAGTGGCACGGGGTAAGAACGTTACTACAACATTTTTCGATTTAAAGCTTTTCGTGACTGCAGGGATTCATATTCTTGGTTCTTTCGGTAAAGTCACGTAGAAGGGAAACAACGTACATACAACGTACATACAACGTAACACCACAAACGTCGCACCGATTGTCGGTTTCCCCCACCCCCCCGCCCGGCAGTGGGGCTACTTGCCTTCCTCGGCGTTTTCGTGTATAGGCTGTAGATCCACTTGAGGACGGCGATGCGAGTGAGCATGGAGTCGTGGGTCAGGTGGTGAGCCAGGACGTTGACGATGCTGTCCAGGTCCAACCTCACGGCCAAGCTGTCGGGGGGGGGGGGGTATGTCAAAGCGCACGGAGGGGATATGGCTCAACTGTTTGTTTAATCAACTCGCGTGCTTTCGGTTCACACGATGCGGTTTCATAGCATTTATCACGCGAACTCCGGTCATCCACGCAGCAGCGGATTTTGGCTGGCCATCGAACAAAGACGGTCGTCACCGCATCGCGCGTGCTTTTAGATGCTCTTCTGAAGCCATCTGGAACGCCCTTACTTCCGATATTTGAGAGCCACTGGAGCTATGCACTTTTAAATCATCTAGATTGAAAGCGTATGTCTTTAGAACTGCTTTTTGTGTTTAGTTTGTTGTCCTTCCCCCGCACCTCCGATTAGCACGGTTGTCTACATACGGTTGCGAAGAAGTTCAATATACGTACAAATAAAACGAGACGGAACAAAAGAAAAACTGCAAATAGAGACGGTAAAAAACTAAACATGAAACAGTCGATTCTTGAATCGAAACACCGCCAAGAATTTAAAGAATTGGTATGAATCATTGCACCCCTACTCTTCGAACATCAAGCGCCACCACCGCGCAGGAGTTTGCGGTTCCCATTTGTCACATTTGGAAAAATCACAAAATTGTCTCGAACATTGCCAGGGTTTCACAATTCGCTATCCTGTACCATAATCTAATGGCAAAACACACTGCAGGACTTGTCTGCAATGCGCTTGTTCACATGGACCCGATAAATCTAGAATTATTTCTTTTATCCAGAGACATCGAGTATTCCTGGGTAAAAGAGTCCGAGTACAAACACCCTCACAGCGGCATCTTGTATGTACGCCGAATTTCTTTCGCACCGTACGTAGCCAACCGTGCTGATCGAAGGTACGTGGCGGGGGGGTGGGGACGACAAACTAACAACAACAACCGCCATTCGCCACTAAGTGGCGGTGATGTCATCACGATGCTTGTGCCAGGCCAAGTGCACCTTGAGGCCACGTGAAGTGTCGAACGCCCGCTGGCAGGAGGTCACGGGGCAGACCCAGCAGGTGCCACGGGTCGACTGACTGAGATGACCGAGATGACTGGCTGATGCACCACCTGTGCCCCCTACTGTGCCAACTTGCTGTGCTTTAGCCACCCGGCGCTCCACTCGTTGTTGTGAGCATCGCTCCTCCGCCCTCCGTTGTTGTTGGAGGGCGACTGCCTCCAACTGCCCAGTAGCGTCCTTCACGAGCCTCCTCCACAGAGGCCGATCTTGACACCGCTGGTACCAGTCATCGGCAAGTCCGGCAAAACAACCCCCTACCTCCTCACGGTGCCGGACGGGCAACTCTGTCGTGGACATTGCTGTGGGGGGAGGGCCAATGCCCATTGGCCCTCTCCCCTCATGGCATCTGTGACCACCACAGTGGCTAAACGGGGGCTCTGGACGGGTGCGAGGGGCTGGTAACCCCTCCACCTTTAATTTATTACCACGAAACTACGAATTAAACATAAAATGTAACGACAAACTAAACACACACACAAACACACAAACACACGCGCAAAAGAAATGTACTCACGATTCCATGTCAACCTCTGTTGACGCCTCCGGTGCGCTCTCCTGGGACTCCTCCAGGCTGGCTGGAGATGGGCACACGGCAGGAGCAAGGTCACAGCTTTTGTGCTTCGATGCTCTTGCTTAAATTTTTTATTTTTTTGCTTTTATAATTTTTGCGACCCGAGATCACCTCTTGCGAATGAGACTCCTCCTGGCCTCTTGAGTTTTCTCTCGGTCAAACAAAAAGAATCTCCACTTGACCATCGCTGCCCCCCCTCGCATCCCCAAACGTGTCGGAAAACCCGATTCAGAATTTATTTCTGGGCGAGGCCACGCAATAATTAATCTGGCCAAAGTTTACGTGGCAAGACCCTCCACCGTTGTCAAGCGCCGATAAAAATTTTTATCTTTCCACTCGCCAATGCTCGCAACCAAATGTGGCGATTAAGATACGACCTCATTTCGCTAAGTTCCGATTCGGAGAATTAAAAATGTGTCGGTTGGTCCCGCGACGATATTTCCTCTCTGTAGCAGGGCACAAGGCAAAGTGCCTACCGCTTCGTGTTTCGATAAAAAGATTTCAGGAGCGGTTCCGTAAACTCTACTTCTATGGGCCATTCTGCAAAGAAACGAGCATCCCCCTATTTAAGACGAAAACAGGAAGACTTATTGAAAATTCTGGCTATCGCATGAAGCTGGTTGTTGTAATCGCCAGCAAAACGTCGTACTCAAATTGTAAATCTTGTGGGTTTACTCTCCGACACACCGGTGTGCTGAAGTAGTAACGTTTTGTTTACGTGACAAACCTTACCAATTGGCCTTGTCGGGTGGTGGCGGGTTCAACGACACGTTTATATTTACGCAATCTAACCCGTAAAAAATCCCTTTATTATGGATATTGCTCGTGAAAGCCGACTACTCCGACTTTGTGTCTAACAAAGTGTTCCTAACGGACTCTTCGTCTCGCGTGACCACGACGTCGAATGCACGATTAGGAAATAAATCCGGAAAAAGGCAAAAGACCACATGAGAGAGAGGGGCGGCATGCCGCTGGCTGGCATCGCACGACCGTACCTTCAGGCCGCGGCTGCAGGACGTCACCGGTGCCGGCTTGAGCCGCGAGAGAAGGGGACACGGGCGAGGGTGGCACGGCATCCAGGTCATCCTCAGGCAGCACCAGCCTCATGAGGCTCAGGTTACACGCACTTGCCGCCTCCTTGATGTCTTGGGGACGAGCTCAGAATCCCAACGGTGGCGCGAATGCAACAAACATGAGCGGCATATATCCAGGTGGGACGCAACGTTGGGTCAACGTTGGGCCGACGGTTCCAGCCACAGGATGCCAACGTTGACGCAACGCTGCATGCATACTGGGTACACAACCTTCAAATGAAAAAATTGCCTAAACGTTGACCCAACGTGTTATTTTATTATTTTATTATCCACAAGTATCAAAAATGTGATGGATGCGTGAGCTAGGTTGGGCCAACGGTTCCAGCCACGGGATGCAAAATGTTGACCCACCATCGTTGCATGACTACTGGCTACGCAACCTTCAAATTATGACGTCGGCTGTCTGGTCGGATCTTGGCCTTTTGACGTAAATGGTCAGGTTGGAGGTGTTTATATTATAGTTTATACGTGATAAACAAAACGGAGTGATTAAATATCGTATATATTTTTTTTTTAATGGCAGTACAGCAACGTCATTGCCAAAGCAGGATGGCCTGCTCCAATTGAAGATGGACTTGGCTTAACCACAAGCTGGAGTTTTAGTTACATATCCCAGCACACTGCGAATAAGATAAAATGGCAACAACTATAACATTACAGAGTATAACCCCACCTCTGGCGACCGGTCTTCCCTGTACCCTAAAAACTCAACGTATCCATAACATTACCTACGCACGTCACACGTGTGCCGATTTTGAGTAAACGATTTCTCTGTGTGGCACCTTCAGATTATTGTGTATTTAAGTGGCTTTATAAATCCAAATGATTGCTGTGCTTGTTAACCCAGGAACGCCTCACGACACCTTTTCAAGTGGACGTCCTGTCAAGTTTTCGAAGCAAGGGACATGACGACCGTCATGTGTAATCCGGATTAAGTACATTTTTCAAAATTAGGACCACGACACCGGCACACCGGTGGCCTATCCTTCTTTGAACAATGTCACGGTTCATGCGCCCACAGTATTCACCAGAGCGGCCTGCTGGATCCGAACTGCGAAACTTCCGCAGCAAGTGGCCAATGGCGCTGCAGCTGGGCCACGCCACGTGATTACGATTATTATGGATGCCACGGTGGCGAGATGTTAACCACCTCGCCTGGTACGCAGGAGGTCGTGAGTTCTATCCCGGCCCTGACGCGAAATATTTTTGGAGTTTGCAAGTCTATCTCCCCTTGGTCACGTGGATTTTTCTCTGGGTTCTGCGTTTTTTTTTGCCTCCATATTTAGAATCAACATCACCCGTTTCGTGTAAATTTGGCTGCTATAAATTTCCACGTGACAAGTCACTTCGTTGCCCGATCATTTGTAATCGTCAGGTCGCTTCTGAAAAAGAGCAATACAGCTCGCTGGGCTTGACCTCGTAAAATAAAAAATAGTAAAATAGTAGTAATCCTTAGACTTTCTCCTCCTCGTGGGTCGTACCATCAGCTTTGGGGGGGGGGGGGGGGGGGGGAGGTGGTAGCTGATTACACAGTGCGGTAGGTAAGGGGAGCTGTGCAAATATGATGCTGTGTGTTTGGGGGGGGGGGTCTCTTGGTGAAGAGGGGCATGCCATTACAGGGACTCCTCTACTTATGAACATTCGACTTATGAACTTTCAGAGATACGAACAAACTTGTCCGGATGTCCAGTTGCCCGTTCGGACCGAGAGTCGTAAGTTCAATAGATGGCGGTGGTGGCATCTACATCTGTAGAACATGAAGAACCAGTGGCATCTACGTCTACAGGAGATTATACAGCTGTTAAAGCCATTCCCCGTGTTACGTGCACATGCCGTACAACGTGTTTGGAATCGACGGCAGTAAATTTGGACTTACGAACAAATCGACTTACGAACAAACCTCTGGAACCTAACCCGTTCGTAAGCAGAACAGTCCCTGTAATTTAGTTTCAGATATCATTATTATTATTACCGTGGCCAAGCTGTCATGGGCCAGTGTTAAACGGGGGGCAGCAGGAGGAGGATACTCTTCCTCTTGGGGTCGTCGTTGCCCAGGCAGGGCAGCACGGCGTTAAGGACTCCCGCAGCGAAGGGCAGCATGAGGCGGCCCGCGAGCTGCACAAACTCCCGGATCCACGTCATGGCCGTCAGCTGGGTGAGCTCGTCTGAATAGGACGCGAGATGGGGACAAACGTAACACCGCGGCCACGTTTTTTTTTTTTTTACGGCCGGCCGGAGCATCCGGCGCGAAGAGCGCTTGCTGCGCGAGCACCCGACTCTAAAAAAATCATCACGAGCGTCGTTGTGGAGACAATAAATAAGCAGACACTGTCTATGTATGTTAAACTTCTTTTGCACCGTACGTAACCAACCGTGCTCATCCGAGGTGCAGGGGAAGGACAACTGAACACAAAAAAGCAGTCCTAAACAAACGAGTTTTCATTTTAGATTTCAATATAGATTTACACAGCTCCAGTGGCTTCCTAATATCGGAAGAGCATTCCAGACGGCCGCTGACGCGCATCTGAAAGAGCGGCAATGCGGTGACCGCCTTTGTTCGTTGGCCAGCCAAAAGCTGCTGCTGCTGCGAGGATGACTGGAGTCCACGTGGCGATGGTTTAAGCTCTTTGACGAGGATCAGCGAGGTACTGTGGTTGATTTGCGGCAAGCACTTTGTGTGTAATGAGTGCGATCAAATGTGCGGGGTGGGGGGGCGGCTGCAGTGGCAGTGGCCAGTAGTAGTGGCTGTGTTTGCTGCACGCGAGCAAATGGAATTGACCTGGACTTTAATCGGGTCTGGGTACAAAGTTTGGGGAAGAAGTCACGCGTGAATTGTGTTCAAACGGCATCGGCTGCGATGAGTTCACTCACCGGAGGCTTGGCAGTGCACGAGCACAATGTTGGCCATGTTGCTGTACTTCACATTGGCCGGGTTCTTCTTAATTTCCTTGAGGAACTCTGCAAGCACGCACTCGCACCTGCGCACGTACAGCAGAGCGCAGCGGTTGGCGAGAAATACGCAGCAGAGATCAAAAGGGACATCTTCAATACGTAGCATAGCGTAGTGTAGAGATGTACATGTTGAACTTCTTTCGCACAGTACGTAGCCAACCGCGCTGATCGTGTCACATTCACCCACAGTAGCTCTTAGGCGACGTACTCACGATTGCAGAAGGATGGAAGAATCGGCGTTAATCGCACAGCAGATATCCATAACAATCAATTATGAATCGGGAGACATCCAATTGGTCCCATTTATTTGTTGCAATGATGCCTTGGGTTTGTCAGAGCATTATACGGTTTGCCTTTTGGCGTTCTTTGGTCCGACACTGGTGAGACTAGGCCCTAAAGAAGGCTGTCTCTGGTGTAGGCTCATTAGTTTCAAAGGCAATGCACATATTATCAGAGCATGTTTGTTTGCATGCTCACCACAAGTACATGTCGTTAATGCAGAATTGATTCCTTGCAAAAGGTTTCTATATGGTCTTTGAACATCTTAACACAACTGTTTAATTGCCAGAAAAGGTAAAATCTATTCTTGTTTTTTCGTACTTTTTTTCTGGAAAAAAGGTCCCATTCGGTAAAGAACTCGTGACATAAATGGTGAATACGCTGCCCATCTCCCGATTTTGATATTTTTACGTGCGTCTTGATTTTGTAAGTAGGACTATCTTAATTTAATTTAGACTAAAGGTATTGCAATGTCCTCTTTAGTAGGGGCGAGTTTTTACTAAAGAAATACACTGATTAAATTAATTTAATTTGCCGATTACATAGCCATTATAGCAAGCGATGTAAATTAAATGCGTACAACTTGCAAAATATAAAAACAATGGGATTATTGAGCTAGCCATCTGATGCATGTATAGTTGATACATGCAATAATTAAGTGTGGCAGTGATGATGATTAAACAATGAAGATAAATGATGGTTGAGTAATGAAGCCGAGGCTGATGATTGATATGATAATGATGAATTATTGATTATGGCTATGACAGTGATAATAATATGATGAACATTATGAAGAATTTTGATGATTGTTAATAACTGTTAATGATGAACGATGATGCCCGTGATGACAGAGAGCTCCCGCACCTCCAATTTAGCATGGTTGGCTACGTATGGTGTGAAAGAAATTCAACATACATACGAAAATATATTTCCATCGATGCTTCATTGCAGGCCCGACTTGCAGCGTGCTAACCACTGTGCTACCACTCCCTCTGCTGGAAGATTATGGTTCTACAGTAAATAATAATTTTAATTCGTAACACGCTGCACAGTATTCACTCACTCTCGACAAGAGAGAACGACTCAAAGCAACAAGGAACCACAGACAAGCACGAACCGCAGCCACGTGGTGAGCCGGTGCCAAACTGCCCCCAAGCTCTGTGGTCCTCTACTTATTGAGGCGTCACCGGCCAATTAAGGAGTGTTTACGTGCACCGAGGAAATTAGAGCACCCGGACAAAACCCTCGTGTGTGCGAGGGGGAAACGCTCTATCCCATACAGATGGCGTCCAGGTTTGGCTGTAACGCTCCATCCCATGCCGAGTCTTTGCCGCACTGCCTTCTCCTGGCGGCCAGGGTGAGGGAGCTTCACAACGTCTGTGTGCGATCCCCCAACAACCCTCGCCTCCACAGTGCTGGACTGCAGGCGAATACATTTAATGTATACACGGGACGAGGATGTTCACAACAATGTGTTTTTTTTTGGGTTAGATCGCGTAAATATAAATGCGTAGTTTTTTATGCGATATAACCCACAGAAAAACCCCTCGACTATGAATAACATTGGTCGCGAAAGCCTACGAGGCGTTAAACGGACGAGAACCGGTTTGGAAAATTATCAATGCGCGCCGTGCAACGAGTGCCAATTGCGCAGAGCAAGGAGTTGCAGGCGTTGTGGGTGGGCGTTGCTGCGCAATGCGGATGGCAACTTCCGTGGCGAGCGCGCGCGTTGCTGTCGGCGCGGGAGGGCGGGAGCGTGCACTCACATGCGGCGGATCTCCTTGCTCTGGTCACCGAGGATCTCGAAGAGGCCGTCGAGAATTTCGGGGAGGAAGCCCAGCAGCTTGATGTCCGGCACCGACTCGAGCACCGCGATCTGGGGGGAGTCCGTCAACGCCGCACTCATCGTCAACGCCGCGTGGCTATCAGGAGCGGGCCATGTGACCCACGCGGCCACCAGATGCCACAAATGGCGCATCGAAGATTCACGGGCCTGCGAGTGGTGCGGCTATGAATCTCAAACCATCGACCGCATCGTAAACGGCCCGCTACTGCCAACTCCACTCTTTTCAAAGGAGGCATGAACGAAAATACCACTCTTGCTTTCGAACAAACAATTTGAGTGGATAACTAATTTTAACCTGCCCTCCTAATTAGTGGACATCTGTAAAAAAAAAGTTCTCTCATAGCTCATTGGATTTTTCCAGCATAACTAAAGATTCCGATTCTACCGATTCAGGCTTTGCGCATCCGCTGGGCACGGCTGCCTGGATGGGCGCCGTGCAAGGGAAGGGGCTGGCCCGAGCCCGCGCGTGTCGGCTCACCCAGGAGATGATGAACTGGCGGCCGTACTGGTTCTGCGTGTATATCCTCTCCCGCAAAAGTGGCACGAACGCCACGAGGTCGAACTTGCTGCTTTCCGTCACGATGTCCTGCGCGCGTGCAAACCAACAAATTTAGTCAAAACGTCGCCCCCCACCCCCCCCCCAAATCATTACGTTGATGGAAATATGAAAAGAATGTGCACAGGTCTGTGTGCGGTAGTTGTTTTAGTGAACCATCACGCAAACTCCGGTCATCCTCGCAGCAGCAGAGGCTTTTGGCTGGCCATCGAACAAAGACGGTCACCGCATCGCACGCTTTCAGGTGCACTTCTGCGGCCGTCTAGAACGCTCTTCCTTCCGATATTAGGAAGCCACTGGGGATATGTGAGTCTGTCCAGGACAAACTATTGGTGAGATAAGAATTCTTTTATTTAAAAGCCATAACCTCCAAAGTGCTATGGGGTAGGCCAATTTTGCAGTTTGTTCAAAAAAAGAAAATTCCCAGCACCGTCACACCCACCTTTAGCAGCCGGTCGAGCAACTCGGAGCCACTCTTCACATTCGGATCTGGATCGGCAGCCAACTGCACAGAAAAAAAAGATAACCTCATTAATTATTGTGGTTTTATAAAAAAAAAAATTTGACTACGCTCGATTACCCAGCACAATCGGGGTGTCTAAATCCCAACTGAGTAATTTGTGAAGCTGACAGAATGTAGGTTTGGTGTTCATACACCTCAAGCAGTAACTCAGGGTGACCCGCTGGATTTGAACCATGAACCCCAGCTAGGCTATGTCACCGTCCCATTATCGCGTACACAATATATTTACAAATTTATATTTTTTGGTGCAACAATGGTGGTGAAATGGCCGAGCGGTTCGCTATTTTGTTGCAGAGAACCGCAGTTGGAATTCGGCAGGCAGCCCTGGTTAATACTGCGGGTGTATTATCCAGAAAAACTAGAGCCGGTCTGCTTCACAGTGGACGGTAAAGACTTCATTTGTATAACAGCAGGTGAAACTGTGTGCCGGCATCATGATTCACAATTTGCAAAATTTTCTAAATGAATCGCTAATTTACCATAAATACAATACTAATCTCGAAGCACGCAAAATGTTGCGTGCGAATTTAAATAGTCAAACGACTCGCTAAACTCTAAATTTGTGCAGAATTCCCACCGATAACAACAGAGCACCAAGGTGCTGCGGCCTTTGCGTCACACGACGCATCACGTGCCACCTTTAATTTTGCTGAACAAGCCGAGGAACACAGATATCAGGGACAGTTTCAACTGGAACCTTGCGTCACCGATAAGACAAAAGCAAAACCACGAATCGCAGATGAAGCAAACAGAAAAACCAGAACCAAAAAAAACCAAAACCCAACCGAATCACGCGAGCAGTCAAGCATTCTGCGCCGACGTAAACCGACGTCCACGAAGCGAAGTTAAAATTTAAATTCCCCGCAGGGCAATGACGATGACGAGATGATGATTCGCAACAAGCATCATGGGGCGGGTGGGGGGAGGGGGCTGCCCTCTGACCTTGCTGAGTCCATCGAAGAGCTCGCAGAAGTGGGGCAGCACGGAGCCGCGTGCCACCTTCACGATGTTGTAGAGCGCCTCGCAGGCGTAGTAGCGCAGCCGGCTGTCGGGGTCGTTAAAGCATGTCAACACCGGCTCCATCAGCTCCTTGAGGTAGACGCCATAGTCCTGCACGCGGCATCGCACGCGGTTACACATAGCGTTACAAAAACAGGGTCACACGCAGTTACACATGGTCCTGTAAACAGCGTCACACGCGGATACGCAGCGCTACAAACAGCGTCACACCCAGTTACACACAGCGCTACAAACAGGGTCACACGCAGTTACACACAGCGTGACAAACAGCATCACACAGTTACACACAACGTGACAAACAGCATCACACAGTTACAGACAGTGCTACAAACAGCGTCAAACCCAGTTACACACAGCGTGACAAACAGCATCACACAGCTGCACACAGCGCTACACACAGAGTCACACCCAGTTACACACAGTGCTACAAACAGCGTCAAACCCAGTTACACACAGCGTAACAAACAGCATCACACAGTTACACAACAGCGCTACAAACAGCGTCCCAACCAGCTATGCACAGCGTCCCACCCAGCTACAGTGTCCCATTCAGCTACACACGGCGCTATACACAGCGTCCCAACCCAGCTACACACAGCATCCCACCCAGCGACACACAGCGCGACACACAGCACTACACACAGCGTCCCACCCAGTTACACACAGTGCTACAAACAGGGTCACACGCAGTTACACACAGCGTGACAAACAGCATCACACAATTACACACAGCGCTACACACAGCGTCACACCCAGTTCCACACAGTGCTACAAACAGCGTCACACAGTTACAGTGCTACAAACAGCGTCCCACCCAGCTACACACAGCGCTACACACAGCTATACACAGCGCGCTACAAACAGCGTCCCACCCAGCTACACACAGCATCCCACCCAGTTACAAACAGCGCTACAGACAGCGTCCCACCCAGCTACACACAGCGCTACACATAGCGCTACACACAGCGCTACACACAGCATACCACCCAGCTACACACGGCGCTACAAACAGCATCCCACCCAGCTACACACAGCGTCCCACCGAGTTACACACAGCGCTATACACAACGTCCCACCCAGCTATACACGGCGCTACACACAGCGCTACACACAGCGCTACACACAGCGCTACACACAGCGTCCCACCTAGCTACACACGGCGCTACAAACAGCGTCCCACCCAGCTACACACAGCATCCCACCCAGTTACACACAGCGTCCCACCCAGCTATACACGGCGCTACACGCAGCGCTACGCGCACTCTACTATGAGGATACAAACGGCGCGTTACCTTTCCCAGCGCAATAGCGCAGGCGGCGAGGCCGATGAGGCCGCCCTTGCGACTGTGTGGGTGCAGGGAGAGCGCGAACTCCTGCGAGAGGATGGCGATGATGTGCTTGATCTGCGCTGTGTTGTTCTGCTGCACGTAATCTCGCACCAGCCTGCGGTGAAAAAATCCCCGCGACGACGTTACCCAGAGTGATCCTCCCAAGTTGGCAAGGGTTTTCCTGTCTCGGTTGGGAAAATGTGGAATGTGGTCTGGGATGTGTGACAACCTAATGGACTAATCTCTTTGTTTTGATAACTTTTTTTTTATTATTGTTTGTGCTTTTTGCTTGGTAGTGTGTGTGTGCGTGTTGGGCTTCCTTCATGCCGTGCGTAGCCAACCACATTCAGGGACTCCTCTAATTACGAACATTCGATTTACGGACTTTCAGAGATACGAACAAACCTGTCCGTCTGTCATGTAAATGCCACGTGAAAAAACAGTGGCATCTACATCTGCAGAACATGAAGAACCAGTGGAATCTACATCAACAGGAGATTATAAAACTGTTAAAGCCATTCCCCGTGTTTAGTGCACATCCCGCACAACGTGTTTGGAATCGACCGGAGTATAGTTGGACTTACGAATAAACCTCTGGAACCCAAAAAAGCAGAGGAGTCTCTGGATATGAGATTCGGTTCCGAATATATAATTAATGTACCGCATTACGGGATTCTGCCGAGGGGAATGGTTTGTACGTGGGGTAAGTGGGAAACCCCTAGGACACATGTCAACACCCATTACGGGAAAGTGGCTGGTTGCATAAAACATCTCAAGCGGATATGCTCCCTTAATTTACATTGATTTATAACGGAAACTAAGGGAAATGTTCGCCTAAGTTGTCCGATGCAACCAACCCCAGAGATTAATTTAACATGACGTACCTGTCAACCGTATTCTTGTACAGAAATATTGAGTTCAGGCCCATACGGTGTACAGCCGTTTCAAAAAGAGCAGAACGTTTTGTGTGTCTATTTGTTTGTATTTCTCCCTTGTGATGGGGACTTTGTAAGATGAACGTTGAGATTTATAAGGGTATGTGGTGACCAGTAAGGTCTGAATTGGTCTGTAATAAGGTAGGGCACTGATAAGGGGTTGACAGGTATGTGGCCTTTAACAGACTGTTATGGCAAGTGCTGTTAGCGAGCACCTATGAAGGCCGGCACAGCACACGAGGGGGTGGGTGGCCAACACCACGCTCGGCCGCCTTTGCCTCCCCAGTGGCGATGTTTACTACACACCGCACCAGGTACTCATTTGAGGCTGAGTCAACCTCGGTGAGGCCCACGACCGATTCAGATAATCGTCACTGGTGTTGGCCGTGAGCGGGAATCGAACTTGGGTAGCCATGAAGACATCCACAACTCCAATCACCTGGACCCCCACCTATCCTCTCTCCCCCCACCCCCGCCTCCCCCCAGTGAGGCGGGGGGGGGGGGCAGGGAAATATTTTATAGAGCTCCACCCAGGACAGCTCCGGCTGAAATAAAGCCCCGCACGGTTGGCTACATACGGTGCGAAAGAAGTTCAACATACAGCACAAACATACTGCCCATAAACTAATACTACCCATAGACTAACACCTCCCATAGACTCAACACTGCACCTCTCCCATTATCACGGTTGGCTACATATGGTGCAAAAGAAGTTCAACATACATACGTACAAGATGATGGTGATGATAGTGGTGGTGCATTGATGATGATGTCGATGGAGACGATGAATGTGAAAAAAATGATGGTGGTGGTCGTGAAGTTGATGATGGCGGTGGTCATGAAGATGATGATGATGTTGATGAGAGTGATGGCAATATCGGCGATCATGCAGATAGATTCTGGCTATGGATGCCAGCAGCCACGGGTATTCATTAATTATATCCTGTAAATATTTTACCTGGGAAAAATAAAATCCCTTGAGATGGAACATCTTGCTTGCAAGGGTGTCCAGGCTTTTCATTCGACCGATACATTGCAAACACATCATGGCGTAACGTATACAAACGTACGCGAGTCGGGCGGTTAGGTCCCGAATAGTGCGTTTTTTTTAAAACGCTGACCTGCCTTTAGGCGACTGGCACAACAAAACTGTACGTGCGTGTGTGTGTGTGCAGCCCTACAGGCAACATCGACTCTACAACAACCATATTGTACGCCAACACATTCTGAAACTTCCTTATTTTCCGACATTACCGATCAGCCAGCTTTGGACTGGGCGCCTCTGGAAGGACAAAAATAGCGTCAAAGCTAATTGGGGTTCTCTCTCAGCTGAAATTAAACGTCGTTGTCGATTGTGAGTCGTCAGTTTTCTAATTCCTGTAATCGACGATGCCAGCTTGTTCCGCGAGGTATGAATGTCATTTTTAGGTTGGCCAACGGTTTGCCATCCTGTAAGAGAGGAAAACATGTTTGTACGTTGTTGAACGATAATTTTTAAAAAGTCACTTGGGTGGACAAAATGCCTCGGGCACCGAATGCTCCTGCCATGCTCCTGCCAGCGGCGGCGTTACATAAAGCCAACAACGCACACATTAGTGGAGATGCAAATTAATACTGGTAGGAACCTCCTGGTTACACCAGCCCACAGGGGATTATTGTGTCCATCGTGCAGGGAGGGGCTGGGTCGGGAGGGAGGGGCAGGGTAGGGAGGGGAGGGTGGGGAGAGGCTGGGTGGGGAGGGGCTGGGTGGCGAGGGTGGGGAGGGGCTGGGTAGGGAGGGTGGGGAGGGGCTGGGTGGGGAGTGGGAGGGGTGGGGCTGGGTGGGGAGGGGCTGGTCACCCCGTGGTACCCTTATAAAACTCAACGTTTAACCTACTCACGCCGGCTTGTGCCCGCCCTCACAGTCGGGCATATTTGCGGAATACATCACGCCGCCGTTGACCCTGGCCTACCAGCTCCCTCCGCAGGAATGTGTTTATGTACTCAATAAAAAAAACTAAATTCTGCACGACAGAGCCATGAGCTCACAGCCTAATTTGCGAACTATTTCAGTCTTCGCCGTTTGCTGCGGGGCATTGATTTGTGCTGCGCCAAAACTGCTCTCTGCGGTGCCGGGACGTTACGCAATTTTCTCGACTGTGGTGTGGCTGGCACACATCCTTCTGTATTCTACTGTGCTGCACACACACACACACGGGGCTATGCATTGCACCGTGCACGTATCTTAGCCAACGCTGTGTATGGCAGGTAGCCTGCACCACGCTGTTCTGTCATTTTTATTAGTAGTGTATCAAATCTAACTGAATCTTGTATACTGTACTGTACTGGTTATGTTTCCTGCAGTCATGCGGCTCGTTGATTTTAATCGTCCTTTGTTATAGTAGCATGCCAGACTTCAGATCGCCAAATACCGTATTCTACGAAATATAGGCTCTCTTTTCCCCTGTATTTTAAGGCAAAACTCTCGGTTGCATATTATATTCTGGTAGGTGTGTGCGTGTGTGCGCGAGACAAGATTTGTATAAATTTCGATTTAAAGGTTTCGTGACTGCAGGGATTCATATTCTTGGTTCTTTCGGTAAAGTCACGTAGAAGGGAAATAATAAAATTATACAAATAAAACATAATAAAAATTCTCACGACGTTTCGGCCACAACGCAAGCAGCCATCAGCGTATTTTAAGCTTAAAATACGCTGATGGCTGCTTGCGTTGTGGCGGTATTGATACCGGGCACAAGTCTGGGTTACGTCTTACCCGGGGGCATCTTACAATCCCGAGAAATAAGGTAACAATTATTGTGCTGCGCTGTCCAAGACTCTGCTGTCGCGACCTCGGTGTGTCAACCCACACGGTTTACCCGTGTTCCTATACAGCAGGGGTGGGGAACCTTTTTTCTGCCAAGGGCCATTTGGATATTTATAACATCATTCGCGGGCCATACAAAATTATCAACTTAAAAATTAGCCTATTATATTTGGTCAAACATTTAATTAACTCACCCCTAATGCGATGGCTGGAACTGCTTCTCTTTGGCGAGGCGTGCGTGATGTTAGCTGGTATTGATGATGTTGCTGCTACTCGCAACTGCTTTTCCAGGTTTGCTCCTAGATTTATTGAATTTCGAGTCCCACCTGCGGTTGCCTTGGCAGGGCCACACCAAATGATTTCGCGGGCCTTAAACGGCCCGCGGGCTGGACGTTCCCCATCCCTGCTGTACAGGGAAATGTTCAGGTGCATACGGCGTACAGCCGTTTCAATACGGGCAAAACATTTTTTTGTCTATTTGTTTGTGTTTCTTCCTTGTGATGGGACTTTGTAGGATGAACGTTGAGATGTATAAGGGCACGGGGTGAGCAATAAGGTCTGAATTGGTCTGTAATGAGGTAGGCACCGATAAGGGGTTGACAGGTATGGCACTCAAGAAACATCTAAAAGGCCGCTATCTGTGTTGGGACGGCTTTCGAGCAGCCCGGAGCTTTGCTCCATGCCTCAAAGTTGTTGACTTGTCTGCAATATCTGGCGCGTTATAAATGTCACCATTATTATTATTATTGAAGAAGACACCGAGTCCCTGGCCCATGTGTGCATTCTCGCCTCGTAGAATGAACGCTGGAGAAAAAAATAGACTTAAAAAGCACGCTCCGCTCCAAAGACAAACAGAGTTTGCGCATTCTTAGAGCGTTGAACGTTTATCGTAAACCTTTGTACACAAACTGCCTTATTCACAGCTGCGACCCCCCCCACCCCATGTGATTGAGGATAATAACTCCCATTGTTGGCAACCACCAGATATAATGGCTCGTGATGATTACGCGACTTGTATCGTGAGTCACGTGGTGCCGTTGTGAATGTGTGGAAGGGCGTCGAGGCAGAGCCGTGGTGAGATCGCGTGGCTCGCAATCGGACGTTCGGTTACATTCGCATACCTGTCAACCCCTTATCGGTAGTGCCCTACCTTATTACAGATCAATTCAGACCATATTGGTCACACCGTGCCCCTTATAGATCTCAACGTTCATCCTACACACGACACTATACACTAAACTCCATGATACAATACACTACACTACTATACACTACTACATACCTGTCAACCCCGTATCAGTGCCTACCTTATTTTATACAAGTAGCTCTTTTGCCCGTCCAAGGACGGGAATGTATTGCAGTAAATCCGAAATATTCAAAACTTGTTCAGCTCATGATTATTGAGGGGGGGTTGCCCCATGTGGAGTGACGTCACTCACTAATGGTTATTGGGGAGGGGTGCGGCATGTAGAGTGACGTCACCCCCTCATGGTTATTGGGGAGGGGTGCGGCATGTGGAGTAACATCACAGAGTACATGGTGGGCCACATGTCCAGAGACCCCCCATTTAATTATCTAAAACATAATATATTTTTATTATAAGTAAATTTTTTTTTTTAACATGAATATGCAAAGTAAAACAAGGTTCGGGCTCAATTAATTCGTCCATTAATTGGGGGGGGGTCTCAAGACATTTTGGACCACCCCTGTACAGCAAAGAGGACTATGCAAATACAAAGATCCCCCGTATAGCCTTAACAGACTTTTGGGGCAAGTGCTGTTAGCGAGCACCTATAAAGGCCAGAACGGCACGCGAGGGGGTGGGTGGCCAGCACCATGCCCGACCGCCTTTGTCTCCCTAGTGGCGATTTTTACACACCGCACCACGTGCTCGTTTGAGGCCGAGTCGACCTAGTGGAGGCCCAGGACCGGTTCAGATAATCGTCACTGGATGTTGGCCATGAGCGGCAATCAAACCCGGGTGGCCAGGTTCATAGCGCAGGGCGCTAACTGCTGCGCCACCACTCCCACAAATAACAGCAGCAACAACCGCCATTCGCCACTAAGTGGCGGTGACGTCACCACGGCGCTCGTGCCAGGCTACGTGCACGTTGAAGCCACGTGAAGTGTAAAACGCCCGCTGGCAGGTCACGGGGCAGACCCTGCAGGTGCCACGGGTCGACTGACTGAGATGACTGCTGGCCGATGAACCACCTGTGCCCCCTTACTGTGCCACAAATACAGGCACCACCACCACCAACATCTCCACTGCCACAAATTGACAAACGTGAGTCACATCTTCGTCGTAGTGTCTCGTAGCAGGTCGAGAAATTCACCAAGACGGAAACAGAGACAACTTCAAAGCATTCTAAACTATTTAACTAGTTTTTTATTTTACCAGGTAAAAGCTGTGTAGCTCTTTTTCAGACAGCGACCTGTCCCACAAATGATTGCTCAACCAAGGTGGCTTATCATGGCGTGGAAATTGATAGCAGCCAAATGTGGAGGGGAAAAACCCCGAGGAACCGGAGAAAAATCCACGCAACCAGGGTCAGAGACACGAAAACTCCAAACACCCAGCAGGCGTAGGCATTTACACTATGAAACCTCCATTACCAGTGGCAAAATATAGTAATAGGTTTTTACCCAATCAACTTCAAGGACAGTGTATATCATTATCAGAGTTGTTTATTTTTGTTTGCAATTTGACTACTTGTGTTGTGGTTATTGCAAACATGATGCCTTGTATAAAGGTGTCAATTTTTGTACCAGTTGAAAGGGTAAAAACCTATCACTATATTTTGCGACTGGTAATGGAGGTCTCAGTGTAAATGCTTACCCCGAGCTCTCAATACTCTGATAGTGCGCTGTTTTTGAGTTGTACGCCTTTTGGCGTCATCTGGTCCAACACCAATGGAGACTAGGCTCTAAGAAAAGCTGTCTCGGGTGTGGACCAATCAACTTCAAGGACAGTGCATATCATAATCAGAGTTGTTTCTTTTTGTTTGCATTTTGACTGCTTGTGTTGTGGTTATTGCAAACATGATGCCTTGTGATAATTGTTTTTTTACCCTTTAATCTGGCAACAAAACTGACACCTTTTTTACGAGGAGTCATGTTTGCATAGATCACAATACCTGCAGTCATAATGCAAACAAAAAACATAACTCTGATAATGTACGAGTTATGTTTTTTGTTTCCATTATGACTGCAGGTATTGTGGTCTATGCAAACATGACTCCTTGTAAAACAAGGTGTCAGTTTTGTTGCCAGATTAAAGGGTAAAAAAACAATTATCATATTTTTTACTGGAAAATGAGGTACCAATGGTGTATGCTGCCTTGTATAAAGGTGTCAGTTTTTTGTACCAGTTGAAAGGGTAAAAACCTATCACTATCCAGCAGGCGGGTCACAGGGACGGTATCGAACCCCAACACCCTCCTCCTCGAGACAGCCACTCAACGAGTCGAACCGAGACGTAGACACATTCTTGTAGACACCCTCCCCAATCGACACAAGGCTCCACAGGGACACGAATTCGCTCGTAACCGGCAGCACCCTCCAAGCCCTCCTCCTCCTCCTGTCCACACGTCATCAGTCGAGACACGGCAGCATCCATTGAGCCGGTGCTGACTGAGTAAAAGAAGAGGGCCCCCATTGGGACGGCCGTCATTAATTCTAGATTTGAAGCTTTCGTGACTGCAAGGATTCATACTCAGTTTTTTTTCGGTAAAATCACGTAGGTAAAAAATAATAAATAATAAAATAATAAATGAAAATAACTATTAAATCAATAAAAAAAATCTAAGAGTATGGGACGGCCGTCGTTTAGACGCCCCCCTCCCCCCCCCCCGTGAGATGACCCCTTCCGTGAGACAGACCCCTAGTAAGACAACATCCTTAGTTAGACAGCTCCTAGTCATATTAAACCCCTAGTAAGACAACATCCCTAGTGAGACAGCTCCTAGTAAGACAACATCTCTCGTGACACAGAGTGGCCAGCACCTCGTGACACAGACCCCTAGTAAGACAACATCCCTAGTTAGACAGCTCCTAGTAAGACAATATCACCCGTGAGACAGACCCTAGTGAGATTAAACCCCTAGTCAGACAAGACCCCCGGTGAGACAGATCTCATTCAGACAACCCCAGCGAGAGACATCAGCAGCAGCAGCTTCGTGAGACAACTCCACACACCGCACCCCTCCCGACCCCCACGGGGACGAGACATCAGCAGTGGTATCAGCAGCAGCAGCGGCATCAGCATCATCAGCAGCGGCATCAGCAGCAGTGGCATCAACATCAGCATCATCATCAGCAGCAGCAGCGGCATCAGAATCATCAGCGGCAGCAGCGGCATCAGCATCAGCGGCATCAGCATCATCATCATCATCAGCGGCATCAGCATCATCATCATCATCAGCGGCATCAGCATCATCATCAGCAGCGGCATCATCAGCATCACCATCATCAGTAGCGGCATCATTATCATCAGCAGCAGCAGCATCATCATTATCAGCGGCATCATCAGCATCAGTAGCGGCATCAGCATCAGTAGCGGCATCAGCATCAGCGGCATCAGCATCGGCATCAGCAGCGGCATCATCAGCATCACCATCATCAGTAGCTGCATCATTATCATCAGCAGCAGCATCATCATTATCAGCGGCATCATCAGCATCAGTAGCGGCATCAGCATCATCATCAGTAGCGACATCAGCATCATCATCAGCAGCGGCATCATCAGCATCACCATCATCAGTAGCGGCATCATTATCATCAGCAGCATCATCATTATCAGCGGCATCATCAGCATCAGTAGCGGCATCAGCATCATCATCAGCAGCGGCATCAGCATCATCATCAGCAGCGGCATCATCAGCATCACCATCATCAGTAGCGGCATCATTATCATCAGCAGCAGCATCATCATTATCAGCGGCATCAGCATCATCATCAGTAGCGGCATCAGCATCATCATCAGTAGCGGCATCAGCATCACCATCAGCGGCATCATCAGCATCAGCATCATCACCATCATCAGTAGCGGCATCATTATCATCAGCAGCATCATCATTATCAGCGGCATCAGCATCATCATCAGCAGCGGCATCATCAGCATCACCATCATCAGTAGCGGCATCATTATCATCAGCAGCAGCATCATTATCAGCGGCATCATCAGCATCAGTAGCGGCATCAGCATCATCATCAGCATAAGCATCAGCGGAAGCAGCGGCAGCATCATCAGCATCTACCACCAGCTACCACCACCACTCACTTTTCGATCTCCAGCGCCGCCACTTTGCGCTTCTCGTAGAGTTTGTCGTTGAGTGCGCGGACGATGGCCGGCGTGAGTGGAGCCAGCTCCTTGTCAGAGTTCATGGCGACGACGACGATGGAGGAGAAGCCGCTTCAACTCCCCCACAACTCGCTCTCTGTGTGTGTGTGTGCAGCAGGAGGAGGAGAGGAAACTCTCCCGGGTCGCTGTTACAGCAGGAGGTGGTGCGGTGGGGTTCGGGGTTGTTGCCGGCTGTGAACCTCTACCACCCCCCCCCTACCTACCTCGACTCTCTCCTCGTTCTCTCCTTGACTCTCTAACCCCCCCCCCCCCACTACATCGACTCTCTCCCAGACTTTCCTCTCGACTCTCTCTCTCCTTGACTCTTTTCTAGACTCTCTCCTCGACTCTCTCTCTCCTCGACTCTCTCTCTCCTCGACTCTCTCTCTCCTCGACTCTCTCCTCGACTCTTTTCTCGACTCTCTCTCTCCTCGACTCTTTTCTCGACTCTTTTCTCGACTCTCTTCTCGACTCTCTTCTCGACTCTCTTCTCGACTCTCTTCTCGACTCTCTTCTCGACTCTCTTCTCGACTCTCTCCTTGACTCTCTCCTTGACTCTCTCCCAGACTCTCTCTGCTTGACTCTCTCCCCTCGACTCTCTCTTCTCGACTCTGCCCCGCCTGGACTCTCACTCCCAGTGTCCTCTCTCTCTGTCTCTGTGTAAGGGAGAGGAAGGGGACTCTCTCGCTCTCTCGTTATTCAAGGAGTCGTTGTTGCCCGCTGTAACGCTGCCCTCGACTCTCTCCCTGCCGCTCTCTCCCCTCGACTCTCTCCTCGACTCTCTCCCAGACTCTCTACCCCCTACCTCGACTCTCTCCTCGACTCTCTCCCTGCCACTCTCTCCCCTCGACTCTCTCCGCTCTCTCGTCGCTCTCTCCCTGCTCTCGGCTTGACTCTCCCCGCTCTCTCTCCTTGACTCTCTCCTCGACTCTCGACTCCCTCCGTGCCACTCTCTCCCCTGTCGCTCTCTGCTTGACTCTCCCCGCTCTCTCCCCTTGACTCTCTCCTCGACTCTCCCCGCTCTCCCCTTGACTCTCTCTCCCCACACTCTCCTTGACTCTCTCCTCGACTCTCCCCGCTCTCTCTCCGCTCTCTCCTTGACTCTCTCCTCGACTTTCGACTCCCTCCGTGCCGCTCTCTCTCCCCGCCGGCCTCACTGAGCCGCCATGCCGAGTCCGCTCTGGAGCCCGCGGAGTCACGTGATCACCGCCACCACCACCACGCGGTCACGTGACGAGCGCGGCGAGAAAGCGATTCGCACGGAAATCGAAACTCGGCGATCCGATCCCTAGGAGCTGGGTGGGGGGCTTATGAAATTGATCAATCGATTGTCTATCGATTATTTATCTGAGAAGCGATTCTGTACGATTATAAACTCGTCCACTACGCGCGAACCGATTCGATCTACGGAGCTTGGCGGGGGGTGGGGCTTATGAAATGGATCGATTGTTAATCGATTCATGTCTGAGGCTAGAATCTGACGAATCTAAACTCGTCCACTACGCGCGATCCGATCCACGGACCGGTTGCTGGTTAATCGATATATCGATTAGCAATCGATTCATTTTCATTCATCTTCACGAATCTAAGCTCGATCGATTCGCGATCACTGAGCCCGATATCATCCGACGGTACTCATCGATTATCAATCGATGCTATTGATCGATTATATTTATCAATCGATGCGTCAATACGCCTCGATTACAAACGCAACATTTGAAACATGAACAATTCGAGTGGAATGGAGGAGGCCTCGTCTGTAGGACAGCCAACTGCTGTCGAGCGAGGCGTAACGAGGCCTAGATTAATCGATTAGTCATTGATAGATTAGTCATTGATTGATTAATGACTAATCTACGAGGCCTTGATTAATCAATGGCTAATCAATGACTTCAACATTAAGGGTGCTTGATTAATCAATGACTTGAACATTAAGGGGCCTTAATTAATCAATGACTATCTTCTTGGTTCTTTCGGTAAAGTCACGTAGAAGAGAAATAATAAAATAAAAATAAAACATAATGAATGAAACAGACGCTGTCTCCCCGACAGACCTGGTCTTCACCTGAGGACGGCTGCTTACGTTGTGGCCGAAACGTCGTGAGAATTATTTTATTATGTTTTATGTTTATTATTTTATTATTTCCATTCTACGTGACTTTACCGAAAGAACCAAGAAGATGAATCACTGCAGTCACGAAAGCTTTAAATCGGGCCTTAATTAATCAATGACTAATCTATGACTTAAACATTAAGGGGCCTTGCTAAATCTGGACCGTGAATCCCGGCAACTCGTGGAATCCCCTTGGTGGGTTAGAAGTGCAGTACAACCCGGGTCTATGCGTTAATTGTGTGTTGACCGACCCTCTGTGTTGCATTGCATTATATTTAGAAATTTTGCTAGATTTATTTGATTTAGTGTACTTTCTCTGTCTCCACTCGTTTTTGTCGTTCTTATGTTCTGCTCTCTCTGTGTGTCTCGGCTGTTGTCCATCTCCCTCTCTGCAGCGTGCCACTCATTGACATGCTAATTTCTCTAACCCCCCCCCCCCTCTACAGCGTGCCACTCATTGACATGCTAATTTCTCTAACCCCCCCCCCCCCTCTCTACAGCATGCCACTCATTGACATGCTAATTTCTCTAACCCCCCCCCCCTCTCTACAGCGTGCCACTCATTGACATGCTAATTTCTCTAACCCCGCCCTCTCTACAGCGTGCCACTCATTGACATGCTAATTTCTCTAACCCCGCCCTCTCTACAGCGTGCCACTCATTGACATGCTAATTTCTCTAACCCCCCCCCCCCTCTCTACAGCGTGCCACTCATTGACATGCTAATTTCTCTAACCCCGCCCTCTCTACAGCGTGCCACTCATTGACATGCTAATTTCTCTAACCCCCCCCCCTCTCTACAGCGTGCCACTCATTGACATGCTAATTTCTCTAACCCCGCCCTCTCTACAGCGTGCCACTCATTGACATGCTAATTTCTCTAACCCCCCCCCTCTCTACAGCGTGCCACTCATTGACATGCTAATTTATCTAACCCCGCCCTCTCTACAGCGTGCCACTCATTGACATGCTAATTTCTCTAACCCCCCCCCCCCTCTCTACAGCGTGCCACTCATTGACATGCTAATTTATCTACCCCCCCCCCTCTCTACAGCGTGCCACTCATTGACATGCTAATTTATCTAACCCCCCCCCCCCTCTCTACAGCGTGCCACTCATTGACATGCTAATTTCTCTAACCCTGCCCTCTCTACAGCGTCTCACTCATTGACATGCTAATTTCTCTAACCCCCCCCCCCCTCTCTACAGCGTGCCACTCATTGACATGCTAATTTCTCTAACCCCTCCCTCTCTCTCCGCCCCCGCCCCCTCTCTCTATTTAAGGCCTCGACACAGAGACGTGGTTTCTCTGTGTGCCTATGTACGTCTCTCTCCCTCTATGTATCTCTGTGATATCTGTCTCTACGTATATATCTGTCTACAGTATATGTCTCTGGTTCTGTGTTTTATCTCTCTCTCAAATTTAGCATTCTCAGGAAGAACGTAATCAACCAGGTAGGGTGTTGACTGTTATGTTATCCGACTCTCTGTTGTATTACATTACATTTCTAAGTATACTAGATTTGTGTTTCGATTCCATTTATACCTGATGATGATTGCTTGTGTTGCAATCGAAACGTCGTATGCTAGTATTTAATTTATTATTTTCTCTGTATACGTGACTTTACCGAAAGAACCCGGGTCTCTTGCTGCTGCTGCCCCTGCCCGCATTGATTCCGAATCTGTATTTATCCGGGAGAAATCCGATGAGCTATTAAGCTCTTTTTCACAGATGTCCAGGAGGGGGCGGGTCAGTAAGTTCCAACAAATAATATTTAAAAAACGATAGGAGTGCAAAGTTTAAAAAAGGTAAACACATCGCTGTAAAGGGGTCGTCCATAAATGACGTCACGCGATTTTGGACGATTTTGAACGATTTTTGACCGCCCCCCCCCCCTTCGTCACGCGGCGTCTCAAAAAGTCAGACCCCCCCTCAAATATGACGTCACAAAGCTCTGCCCCCCCCCCCCCAAAATAAAACCTGCTTCAAATCGCTTTAAGCTATTGTCATTGTAGTGTGTATTTAATGTGGCGCTGCACTCTGATGTTGTAGGAGAAAACATTTATTTAAAAGTCTATTTAATTAAGTAGAACGTGTTGTCTATATTTATTTAAAGTTGCGCATTTTGATGTGACGCCACATTTCTCAACCCCCCCCCCCCCTCGTCACACATCGTCACAAATGTCAGACCCCCCCCCCCTAGATGCGTGACGTCATTTATGGACGGCCCCAAAGCTTTCGTGACTGCAGAATTCATATATCTTGTGGTGCGATCGAAACGTCGTAGTTTTTTATTTGTTTTTGTTATGTTCTTTGAACCTATCTACGTGACTTTACCGGAAGACCCAAATAATAAATTATATATTTTTTAAATCAACTTGCCTCTTTTTCAGTATCCTTAAACTCAAGTGTTAATGATGCGATTTCGCTGCTGGAGAATATTGTAAGCAGCGCAATAGAGTCTTCGTAACTTTTATATTGCTTTGAAACAAAGAATATATTTACGTACTAGTTTGGCTGTGTCGGGTGGTGGCGGGTTTAACGACACATTCATATATATTTACGCGATCTAACCCAAAAAATATATGAGATTGGTCGCAAAAGCCAACGTGTATTAATACTCTTTGGTTTTTTCGGTAAAGTCACGTAGGTATAAAATAAATCACGACGTTTCGGGCGCAACACAAGCGTCCGTCTTCATGGATGTCTGCAGTCACGAAAGCTTCAAAACAATATTTAAAGGTATTGTTTGTTCCTTTCCACCCGGCGTTATTGATCTAACGTGACTTAATCAAATTTGTAGCGGTTCTGCCTTGTCCCCTCTCCTCCCGTCGTTTGAATCCTTTCGAGGTGGGGAGATCGGCTAATTAGACAACAACAATAACAACAATAATAATAACAAAGTTCAGATACGGTGAGCAGACTCTGCAGTTGTGTTCCGTCCTCGCGAGGGCGACTCGACAACGGCTGAACACCCAGGTGGGTGCGCGGGTTTGTGTAACGTCAAACACTTTATTTTAAAGGCCCTCTTAAGAACGGGCAAACATTTGCTGTATGTGCAATGGCGATCAAAGGATACCCACAGCGTGGCAACACCGCAGAAAAATTCCTCCGTTCAAAATCCGCCCAAATCTAAACCGGGGGACGTGCCTCGGACCTCTCTCTCCCTTGAACGCAGAGGCTCCAATCTGATCAGCATCGCCTGATCTTAATCAAAATAATAAAACAACGCAGCTGGATACCCGTGGCTCTGCAACACATTCCTGCAGAGGGAGCTGGTAGGAACATTGGGTTGCTCGGTCAATGGCCAGGGTCAACGGCGGCGTGGTGGATTCCGAAAATATGGCCGACTGTGAGGGCGGACACAAGCCGGCGTGAGTAGGTTAAACGTTGAGTTTTATAAGGGCACCACGGGGTGACCAGCGCCTCCCCACCCAGCCCCACCCCTCCCATTCTCCCCACCCAGCCCCTCCTCACCCTCCCCACCCAGCCCCTCCCTGCACGACGGACGGACGGACACAAGAATCCCCTGTGGGCTGGTGTAACCAGGAGGTTCCTACCAGTAAAAGTGTGTCTTAGGTTCCCATATGCTACAGAGTGCACAACTATACGCGGTTGTGATTAACCGCAGGCGAGCTCACAGCAGCTACATTCACCCCTCCAGAATCACGCGATGTCTGTGTCACTCCCATTACAAAAAAAACATTCAGGAAAGTGGTTTATCAGTTATGAAGGAAACCGTCAGACTTTTCCACTACAACACCGCAACGAGACGACCCGGCATCTGGACCCAAGTAGACCTAATTTGTTATGCCACTTCCTTTGATGGCTTGGCACAGCGGCTTGCACACCGCGCTGAGCACCCAGCAACCTCAGTTGGATATTCCCGGCCACGGCCAAAATCCTCACAGCGGCGTTTGGTTGACCATCTAACAAAGGTGATCACCGCATTGCATGCTTTCAGATGCACTTCTGCGGCCATCTGGAACGCTCTTCCTTCCGATATTCGGAAACCACTGGAGCTATGCACTTTTAAATCTAAAATTTAAAACGAATTACTTT